TCTCTTTGGGATCGTCAATCTTTTAATATCTCATTGGGATCGTCAATGTTAATGTCTCATTGGGATTGTCAATGTTATTTCAATGTTAATTTCTCATTGGGATCGTCAATGTTATTTCAATGTTAATTTCTCATTGGAATCGTCAATGTTAATGTCTCATTGGGATCGTCAATGTTAATGTCTCATTGGGATCGTCAATGTTTATTTCTCATTAGGATCGTCAATGTTAATGTCTCATTGGGATCGTCAATGTTATTTCATGTTAAATGTCTCATTGGGATCGACAATGTTAATATATCATTGGGATCGTCAAGCTTAATGTCTCTTTGGGATCGTCAATGTCAATGTCTCATTGGGATCGTCAATGTTATTTCAATGTTAATTTCTCATTGGAATCGTCAATGTTAATGTCTCATTGGGATCGTCAATGTTAATTTCTCATTGGGATCGTCAATGTTATTTCAATGTTGAATGTCTCATTGGGATCGTCAATGTTAATGTCACATTGGGATCGTCAATGTTATTTCAATGTAAATGTCTCATTGGGATCGTCAAGCTTAATGTCTCTTTGGGATCGTCAATGTTAATGTCTCATTGGGATCGTCAATGTTATTTCAATGTTAATTTCTCATTGGAATCGTCAATGTTAATGTCTCATTGGGATCGTCAATGTTAATTCTTCATTGGGATCGTCAATGTTATTTCAATGTTGAATGTCTCATTGGGATCGTCAAGCTTAATGTCTCTTTGGGATCGTCAATGTTAATGTCTCATGGGATCGTCAAGCTTAATGTCTCTTTGGGATCGTCAATGTTAATATATCATTGGGATCGTCAAGCTTAATGTCTCTTTGGGATCGTCAATGTTAATGTCTCAATGGGATCGTCAATGTTATTGCAATGTTAATTTCTCATTGGGATCGTCAATGTTATTTCAATGTTTATTTCTCATTGAGATCGTCAATGTTAATGTCTCATTGGGATCGTCAATGTTAATGTCTCAGTGGGATCGTCAATTTTAATTTCTCAGTGGGATCGTCAATGTTATTGCAATGTAAATGTCTCATTGGGATCGTCAATGTTAATGTCTCATTGGGATCGTCAATGTTAATTTCTCATTGGGATCGTCAATGTTAATGTCTCTTTGGGATCGTCAATGTTAATGTCTCAGTGGGATCGTCAATGTTATTTCAATGTTACTTTCTCATTGGGATCGTCAATGTTATTTCAATGCAAGTTGAAGAAAACCGAAAAAGTATAAGTATTGAGATTTGCAGGGATATGCAAGTTGAAGAAACCCGAAAAAAGTATAAGTATTGATATTTCTAGGGGTATGCAAGTTGAAGAAACTCGATGAATGCTAAGGCAAGCGTGTTTTGATCTAATTTCTCATTGGGATCGTCAATGTTATTCATGCAAGTTGAAGAAAACCGAAAAAGTATAAGTATTGAGATTTGCAGGGATATGCAAGTTGAAGAAAACCGAAAAAAGTATAAGTATTGATATTTCTAGGGGTATGCAAGTTGAAGAAAACTCGATGAATGCTAAAGGCAAGCGTGTTTTGATCTAAATTTCTCATTGGGATCGTCAATGTTATTTCAATGCAAGTTGAAGAAAACCGAAAAAGTATAAGTATTGAGATTTGCAGGGATATGCAAGTTGAAGAAAACCGAAAAAAGTATAAGTATTGATATTTCTAGGGGTATGCAAGTTGAAGAAAACTCGATGAATGCTAAAGGCAAGCGTGTTTTGATCTAAATTTCTCATTGGGATCGTCAATGTTATTTCAATGCAAGTTGAAGAAAACCGAAAAAGTATAAGTATTGAGATTTGCAGGGATATGCAAGTTGAAGAAAACCGAAAAAAGTATAAGTATTGATATTTCTAGGGGTATGCAAGTTGAAGAAAACTCGATGAATGCTAAAGGCAAGCGTGTTTTGATCTAAATTTCTCATTGGGATCGTCAATGTTATTTCAATGCAAGTTGAAGAAAACCGAAAAAAGTATAAGTATTGAGATTTCCAGGGGTATGCAAGTTGAAGAAAACCGAAAAAAGTATAAGTATTGAGATTTGCAGGGGTATGCAAGTTGAAGAAAACTCGATGAAAGATGCAGGCAAACATGACTTGATCTAGAAGATTCTGGATTTGAAGGATATCTCTCCTGGTTCCGAGGTTGATACAATCGGAATTTGTGTTTGTAACTCTCTTTTTTATAAAAATACTCGGCAATCTGTATTAATTATGGATGACTTATCTGCTGAGATTCGTGTTTCTGCATGGAATCTGCCTCCTGAGGATTTAAATCCATTTATCGGTTCAATCATTGTTGTTCGGAGGGCCAAGATGACCCATAAACCTTATGGGAGATTGCTCACTGTCTCTGGTTGTTCTTCTGTCGAGATCAACCCTGCTATTCCTGAGGTAACCAGACTTGCTGAGTGGTATTCATTTAATAATACTGTCACTGTCCGTACCTCCTTGACTAAAGGTAATTTCGGTGAGATCTCTTGAGTAAGTTCACTTCCTGTTAGTCTTGCTGATGATGAAGTTATTTATACTAATTTGGGTGTCACCATCAGTAATATTTCTGAGTAGATATATCCTGTAGTAGCCTGTTCTGAATGTTCTCACAAGGTTTAATTGTACAAGTGAGATATCCCAGCTTGTGAGATATGCAAAGATACCGATTCTGGTTGATCAATTGTTTTTGACTCTCCGTGTTTTTGACGATTCCGGATCTATCAGCTTGATCGCCTTTACCAACACTGCTTTGGAGTTACTTAAAAAGGAGATCAGTGATATTCCTCTTCTCGAAGAGCGTTGAGCATTGACAAAACAATACAATCGCATCCGTATTCAATACTTGTCATATAGACGATAAATGTGAAAAATAATGCGAAATTCCACAAGAAGACTTCATAGTAAGATACATTCGATGGGCTGAAGCGCGAATAGATCGAGCTTGAATAGAGTCGAAATTCGTAAAATATCAATTTTGGCGAAAAAAGCAATTAAAAAGCTTATTTTTTCATGTAAAAATCTTTTTTATTAATACTTTATTTGTCTCAGTCCCGGACATTACTATACTACTGATAATGCTTTGCGATCTTAGCAACGACGAGCAATTTGATATTGTAAAGGAAATAATATTGAACATTTGAAATAAATCTGACACTCAGTTCAAAATATAAATCAATTTGAAATCGTTAACATCTTTTTCCTAACTCTTGGTAGATAAGATGACAAGCCTTTGTTACTTTTGTGATGCAAAGATAAATATCAATACTAGTTACACAATTATTGAACATTTCAGATAGTCATATACAAGAATTTGGGCAAATATTTTATCGTCTATGTTAGTCACGACTTCACTTGTTACGCTATTATTTCTGCTTATCTTTTTTGCAATGGAGCTCTTCCGGTCAGCGTGCAAAATATTATAAATATAAATTTCGCATGCTTTTAATCAGAAAGAAGTCGCTTCATAGATGTAGTATCAAAAATGTTGCTATGGATAAAATCTTCATCAATTTCCGTTTCTGCTGATGTCTCAGTTTCATTAGGGCGTGTCTTATCGTCAGATTCTATGCCAACATTATGTAACCTAACTGAAGCTATTTCCGTCATTCCGATTCCATCAGTTCGACTTTGGACCGTATCATTTGCCATATATGGACTAAAATCTGCATTTTTCATCCTATTTATGTATAAAATTGTGAAAATTATTCCCAAAATAATGAACAATATGAACACTGCGAAACCAATTCGAGGAACTGCAAAATATAAACATAGATAAAACTCATTTAGATCAAATACGCAAATGCAATTGTAAACTGGTATAACTTGTTAAATTATGCTCCTCGGCTCTAGTTGATGCTAGAAATTTATTATTATACCATTCAAAAGAGACTGTCGAATCCGGAGTACAAGTTAAAATATTAAATTTTGGTAACGCCATTCACATTCAAGTCCATTGTTTCTGCTTTCGATACTAGCACATACATGAAACATCAATCGCTACACTAAAATTGTACATTGGTTATTACATATTCGTCTTCCTTATTGTTTAAGCATATAACTAAAGACTGGTGGAATATGAAATTCAGAGACTCAAGAAGTGGAAGTTTTCATATATCGTTGCAATATACTTATACCAGTATTTTGAAAAAATTGTGCCCCTTTTTTCCTACTTTCACGAAAAATCATTCCATAATGAAAATCAAAATAATGTCGAACATGAATGCCACCTCTTAATGACCTAATTATGACTTTTCAACATCAACTATTAGCCTTTAAAATTTTTATCTATACTATCAATATATCAATATCTAAACCCAGTTATTAGAAAAAAACTGGGTTATAATTTGATTTCTACTTTCTATCTATCTGATCCTTTCTTTGATACTGTATTACTTACATGATCTTCCAGCTTGCTTCAATGAATTATCTGTATCGATTTTTTCTGTTTGGAAAGTGTTGATTGCAGTTGTTTGTTGATATGTTGAGGATTCATGATCTTCAGTTGCTTCTGTCACAGTGATATCAATTGATACTGTTGATGTTTTTATGTGTGAGATAGTTGTAGTTTTTCTTGGAGAACAATTGATTAATTGAATGTTATCAATGAGAATCGACCCAAAATCTGATGTAAACGCAGTGAATCCGATTCTGAAAGGCGAATGGTGTTCACCCAAAGCAACTTTAGCCGTTGTCCATTCGTGAAATGTTTCGATTGAAATTTTTGTTATAACTACTGTCTTTTCTTCGAATTTCAGATAAACTTGCAATTCACTATCATAAGCATCATCTGTATAATGCGAAAATTGTAAGGTGCAAAAGTTGGATGAATGCTGAATAAAGTTGGATGTTTCAATTTGATGTTCAGTCATGTACCAATTTCCTTCTGTTATCATGTAACCTCCATTCATCTTAGATGAATCATCATTAAAATCATCTCCTCGGACTGGACTTCCCCATCTAAATGAATCGTCTAGTGATGACCATGCACATAGATCAAGATCAAAAGCACAAGATCCACAGACAGATTCATCGAGTCCATTGACACAATCAGATTTCCAATCGCAAACAGCATCAATAGGAATGACCTCATCATATCCATCACAAACGAACACTTGTTGATTAGAATATCCTTCTACAAGGGCAATATCGTCGATAGCAATTATACTTGAACCTCGAACATTTCCATTAACTTGTAAGATGTAATTCGAAGTTGAGTTTGATGGTAAATCAAAAGGAAGGTGGACCTTAATCCATTCTGATTTTGAATGAACGGATAATGGTGTTATTGTGTCGATGGAATATGAAGTTCTTTCGGATGATGTCGAAACTAACTGAAAAGTTAAATAGCTTTCATCTGATATCGATTCACCGAAAAACACAGATAGCGTCAAAGTATATTGGAAACTCGATAATTCAATCGGCATTGACTCAATTTTTGCTTCGCCATCGGTATCAATATTTTCATTACCAGTGAGTAATAAATATGAGCCATGGTAAGAGCCAGTGGTAACATCAAATGATGGAGCTTCATAATAATTTGAACGAATACTTGGTGTTCTTATGACCCAAACATTATCAGAACTTGCATCTATCCAAGAACATTTACCAAAATCAAAGTTACAATCAACTCCATTAGGTGAGCATGATTTATCTGATAACTTAATATCATCAACAGCAATGTAACCTAATGAGTCATTCTTGTGTAAACCATAGAAGGTGAATTCAATAGTGTGTGGTCCATTCGATGAATAATCGAGTGCTACTTTGCGCCATTGATTGTAAACATTGGCTTCAATTCTGTACAAGATTGCGTCACTGTCGTGCGATGATGAATAAACCCTGATCTTCATTGTTTTACTCATTAATCCAAACATTTGAAACCAAAACGATAAACACGAAGACTTGGGATTCGTTTGTTGCTTGATTGAAAATGAACAGGTTGAATGAATGGGATCATGTAGAGTGTTTTTCAAGAGCAAGTATTTACCAACTGGTGTTCCAAGAGTGTGGTCAATCAGAGGACCACAATTTTTGCAGTTAAGAGTGTTGATGATTTGAGGTTCAATTATCTGAGCTGGATAATCCAAGAATTGGCAATTTCGGGTTGAATCGAAATCACAGAATGTGTTTTTGGATAAACAAAATCCCTCAAAAATGCTAATGTCATCAATGGCAATAGTACTTAGTCCATGGGAATCCAACTGAGTTTGTATTTCAATGCTTAAAGTTTCCGAACTTTGCATCAGACGAAGAGCCAACTCGACTTCTAGCCAAGCTCGACTCGTATCATCAAAGATAACTCATAGCGGTTTCAGATTTCATACGTTGACTACTTTGATTGAGAGGACAAAGTTGTCGAGTCGATGAAATAATAAAACTTGAAACAAACGTTAGAATTGTTTATAAAATTGATATCTTTCGAAATAAAAGACTGAGATTCTTTGCTGAGCAAATAATTCCCTTTTTGTGTGCCATTCATGTGGTCGATTTCCGGAGCTTTCTTCGATTTTGCTGAAAGTCCATTAGAAATTTGCATATTCGATATTCGTGAACCACAAAGAGTTCCATCGTCAAAGTTACAAGCAAATAGCTTTTGTGGGTTCGTTTTTGATGAAATGTCTGAACAATTACCAGGTAATAACTCAATATTATCGATTGCAATGTCCCCAGACTCACTTGTTCCTCCAACAGCACTGAATATTATTCGATATTCAAGTGGCAAATTTGTAAGACTCAGAGAATGTTTCATCCACCTAGATGAGCTCGGCGGTGCAATGGTATCTACGATTTTTCTATTCAAGGTGCCAGACTCTTTTATAAAAACTATTATTGCACCGATGTTACTTTGGTTGGAAACTTTAGAGTAAAGGTAATAATCAAAAACTATACAAATCTCAGGTGATATAGATAAGCTTTCACTCTCGAGCTGCGCTGAATTATTGTATTTCAATTCTCTTTCATCGACAAACAAATACCATCCGAATTGACCACTTGAATCTTTATCTGGTCCTGAATAAGGCGATGGTGTTGATCCGGAGTTGCGAAGCCATGAAACTGTTCCAGTATTATGCCAACCACATGTATCTTCCTCAAAACTACAAGAGCCAGGAGATTCACAGGGCTTTTCGTGCAATGACACATCGTCAATAGCAAAATGATCTTTATCAGATTCAATATTGAATTCTATCGTTAGGTTACCCGAGTTTACCAAATTTGAATGCTCAAGTTGAACATTTACACGTCGATAGATCCATGCACTGTTCGAATTCATCTCAACTTCATCTGAAGTTATCTGATATTCTTTGGAGAGTGTTGCACTATTATAAATGATTGAGATGACATCTTTTTTACCTGCTAAAGGTGTTGTCCAAAATGTCAAACATTTATCAGTCCAATACAAGTCATTGCTGATCAAAGCTCTCATCGCACTTTGGGACTTATCTAAACTCAAAATGTGTCCACTTGCTACTCCTAGTGAATGATCACTCATAATATTTATAGCTGCGGCTTCAATTCTTTCCAAGCCATCAAGAGACCAAATGCAATTATCAAGTTCGAAATCACAAACACCATTTACAGGACACTCTTTACCTTCATCGAATTTGATTGATTTGAGAGCAATAATGAAATCTTCAGAATCAGTATCATCTATTTGAGTTATTCTTGTATTTGCTGATGCATTGAATTTCAGTCTAAACTCATTGCCACTCTTGATATTAACAAACTGTTCTATCCAGCCATTGCTTTGAGAGTCAACTTTGTTCATAATTTGAGTAGAGTACAAAGATTTTTCTTGCATATCTAAACTCAGTGAGCATCCAAATCGACAAAACATTCTATAAGTTATTTTCAAGCATGATGAATCAACTGGTGAATGCCAAAGGGAAGTTAATACAGCTTGATTAGTTTCTTTCGAATTAGTATCACTAAGAACATGGATATAAAAATCATCTTCTTCAGGCAGTTGATGCCAAACTCCTACATCTGATGGAGTGTTCGTTATTTTCCATACTGAGTTTGTGGATGAAATAAGGTCTGGTATGTACCAAGAACACAAAGTCTCTTGAAAATCGCATGAAAAATCAAAGTCAACATTTTCCTTTTCATCACCATAACAATTGGTCATCTTGAATGAGTCCAATCCAACAGGATAGAATGTCGGTGCATTTTCTGGCAACTGATACGCGATAAATAACAATTGATATCCGTTCCCAAGTCCACCCAGCGAAACTGAACCACTTCTCCATCTAAAGTCATCACCTCGAGGACTCAAAGTGTCTAAAGTCTTTTCTAAAGAGTTTTTAACCAACTTGATCATCAAGTGTGGTCCATGATATGGTAAAAAGTATCTAAAGTTTAAAATGCATTCATCGCGAGTTGAAAATAACACAGGAGACTTCAGTATTGCGTTACCATCCGAGTTTTTGTTTGTAACTGCAAGATACTGACCACTTGTATCGCCAGAGCCATCAGTCGAAGGGTAAAGGTTGTGACGGACTTCTTGGGGTTTGACAAGCACCCATTGATTAGAGCCAGTGCTGAGCCAAGAACAAAAATCATTTGAATTGAAGTCACAAGAGCCACAATTCGCTTCATCCGATCCATAAGGACATTCGGATTTCCCGTTGCAGACATAACTTTCATCGATACATGAAAAATCTTCAGCACAAGTAAATTGGTCAGTATGACATGTAACACTTGGTTTTGCTTTTTTACTTGCATCAGGCAAACTGGAGTAACATTTATCACTGAATATAATGTCATCAAGAGCAATGTACTTAGCATCGTTTTCATATTCATTAATTACAGGAGATGATTGAACTCCAATGAAATTGAGATGAAATGGCAGTCTCATTGAGATGGAATCAGTTCTGACTGTATGCTTTACAAAATCATTTTGTCCTGTAACTTCAGTTAAAGTTTCCAATACTTCGTTTGTTTCCGAATCCTTGATAACTAAACGAAGGCTAAATGCTGGGTTAGGGTTATTAAAGTAAAAAGTGATTGCACATCCCACAGTGTTCGTGATCAATGGGCCAAAGAAGTAAGTCTCTATTTTTGAATCTGATGTAATGTATGGTAGGAAAGCAAAGTGACCATACGATGATCCAGTTGTGTGATCTCTTGAAGGGCGAGTCTCAAGCTGGCCACTTCCAGTTACAATTTCCCATTTACTTATGGAATTGGAAGTTGATAACCAATCATTATTTAATGAATCATCTTCGAAATTATAAATCATATAAGAACAAGAAACTTCGTCTTCACCTTTTGGACAATCGAAAGTTCCATCGCATTTTTTATCCAAACTTATTCGAGCTCCATCTTTACAGATAAATTGTTTTTCTGTTTTAATTGTCTTATCATAACCACAATTCAACAACTTTACATTTCTGATGGAAATGGTTGGGTAAATCTTCGAGTTTACTATTTCAGAATTGAAGCTAATCCTGAAAGAATGAGAGATTCGTCCGATGGAGACTTGGCTAGACGTCCAGTGGTCAACTGAAGAGTTTTGATAGTTGCTATTAAACCATATTTTCAGAGCTTCTCTGTGTTCCATTAGTATCTCCACTGTAAGAGTATCAACGAATTCTGTTTGATATTCAAATGAAAGAAGACAAGATGATGACGAATGACTGATCACAGGACTAGTTAATGGTGTTATAACATTCGAAAAGGGACTTGGAACAAAAGTGGCATAACCATTCGTGATATCCCAATCATTGGAACTGTAACCACATTTGCTTCCGTCAAACGTACAGTCACCACAGTTTACTTCATCCTTTCCGTTCTTGCAATCAATTATAAAATCACATACAGAAGAGACTGCAATCTTTTCGTTATTGCCGCATTCAAAGAACGTCTTTTCTTCACAATGACCAATATTCAAGTTAATATCGTCGATCGATTTCGGTCCAGGTCCATTCGCAACAATATAGAGAAATAAAACATTATCTTGATGTTTGCTATCAATTTGAATTGATAGTTTGGCAAATGACCACGGAGAATACGAATAAGTGGACTTTGTTGGAGAGAGTTGTCTAACAGAGGAAATCGAACCATCTAAATAGTGCAAATAAATCTCCAATCTTGATGTTGGATAAGAATCGTTGTATGGAAGTGAATAAGCAAATGACAAACAAACATATTGAGTGCCTTTTGGAATCGGAAAGGGTTGTGATGCTAGCACTGAAGCACCTTCCTCGTTGAGAGTATGGATATAAGAACCTTTATCATCATACAATGTATAATCAATTGGAGGATACTGGTTGGGATATGATGCGTTAGGCATGCCGATCGTCCATTCAGAATCAACAGTCAGTTGCATCGATGGTTGATCAATATAAACAACTGTTGAAAGGGGTAAAGTATTCCAAAGACATTCACTTTCAAAGTCACACATAAATTCAGACTCGCATGTTCCAGCTTTTATGAATATATCGTCCAAAACAATTGATCCATGAGATGAAGGCTCGTAGGATCCACCAAAAATGATCTTGTGTGAAGAGTTCATCATCAATGCAATTCTTTTTTGATACCATCGCAATCCCAAATTATAATTAATTGAATAAAAAGGTTTGATTTTAGATGAATCTGATGTTCGATCAGCAATCCAAGTTGATAAAGAACAATCGCAATTAACTTTATATGAAAATTGTAAACAATTAAGACCTGAGTGTTTTTTGAGGGGAATGAAGAAATAACTTGTGTCTCTAGTGTTAGGAGCAAATGGAAATTCAAGAGCAATAACTGAACCTTTTTTGGATTCAGTAGTTTTATCATCCATTTCGACAGACAGATCATATCCACTAGAAACTTTCCAAAGTTGGTGCATAGATGGTTCAACTTCCAATGGACAGTAAACGTCAGCTTCAAAGGTACATTCGATTGAATCTTTGGCTTGCAAAGAACATGAGCCGATTCGTAAAGAAACTTCGTCTAATGCTAATTTTGAATCTTCACTGCTTCCTTCAATAGATATTTGGAAATCACCATTCATGAGAAATGATTTTTCTAAATTTTTCCAGTTATCATCATTTCCAATGCAATCTCTAACATAAATTGTTTCATTGTTTTCGAGTTTTCGATTATTCAGTTCAATTGATATTTTGTTATTGCCTATTGAACACCAATAAGATAGAGACAAACAGTAAGGACCGAGTCCATTAAACTTTTTGGAAGTTATTATTGCTTCTTGTTGGGAATGAGTTGAATCAATATAAATATAACCACCAAAATACTTATGAGTTGCATCAACTATGGGATGATCAAAGCGACTGTCAAATTTGTGTTTATGTTTCCAGGTATTTACTAGCCAATTGGAATGAGAAACTTCATCGTCAAAGTTTTCAGACAAATGCACAGTTCCTATTGTAGATGGAATATCAGAGTCTTGATGACAAAGTCCATTTTCAAATTTTATATCATCAATGGCGAAAAAACTTTTGCTTCCATGAAAAAGGAATGAAACTGAAAAAGGTTTCTCATTTGCTAAGGTTACTTTATATTGTGTCCATGCATCGGATTGTTTTTCCAACTGATCAGAGTTGAATTGTGAAACAGATTGAGACATTGATTCACCCGAAGATGAAACGTAATTTATCATTACTTGAGCAAATGCATTATTATGTGATGACTGTGAAAAGAAGAGTCTGAATTGCAAGCATGTCGCTTTGCTGGATGGTAAGGTCGGACTGGTCAACACATAATCACTGGTCTTTGATGTTGGAATATTGTATAGAAACATGTTTGCATTCGAAAAAACTTTTGAAAAAGAATTTGTAAAGATGTTCGAGTCAGGTAATCGACCATAACCAAGAAGAAAGGAATTTTTGGAAAAAATATATCCACAGGTGTTTTCACTGAAATCACAATTTTGTTCAGAGGCACATGACTTGAAATCGATGCTAAGATCATCAATTGCTATAGAAGAATCATCTTTACTCTCTGAATATTTGTCTCCGACAATCATAATCTTGTAATCATCATCACTTTGACCAGAAGGCTTCAACTGAATTTTGACATTTATCCAGTTTTGTTGACTCTCAATTGAACTTGAAGACCAAATCGGAACTAATGATGAGTTATTAAATGAATAAAATATTTGAACACGATCTCGTTTGTTATCAGGTTTAAATATATTGAATTCAAGACACTGAGTTGACCAAGAACTGAAAATATTTTCACTTATGAATCGAGTAGAAGCTGGAATGTTGACTAAGACATTTGAAGTAACAAGGTACTTATTGCTGGTCAGATTTGAAGCAGTTGCAACCTTTTCATCTTTTATCGTCCATTTAAAGTTAGGATAGTTTACATCTGATTCAATAAACCAATTACAAGATGAAAAATCATCAAAGCTGCAATCAATTGTTTTAGTACAAGATCCTGAAGAAACTCTCAACGGCCCCAAGAATATGCCTGATGAAGTAATTGTGAATTGAAGAATCGTGAAATAATCATGGTTCAGGTCTATCGTCAGACTTTGCTCAGACCATCCATCATAATTTGAACCAGATCTTGACCATATTGGGACTAGATCAACTTTTTGACTGTTTTGATTGGTTAATATTGATTCCAAATTCAAAGTACCGACATCAAAACCGAACATGTAATAGTGAAAAGATATACAGAATTGTCCATCTCCAGGACTAATGAGAGATGATTTCAATTGTCCACCAGTTTCTGACCAAATATAATTACCTTGTAAAGGCTGACCTATCATAAACAATATGCAAAAATTAGACAAACTATATTGAGATGAAAAGACAAGGTACCTTGAAAAGTGCGATCAGGTTGATCGAAATGCAATGGATAGCTGTAGCCACCAAGCGATAGTGTGTTACTTTCCCAGTCACAAGTGTCATTAATGAAGTCACAACCAAGTGCTTTGAGAGAATCAGTTGAACATTCAGTCTCTATAATAATTCAATTAAATGTGAGTATTTGATCAAATAATAAAAGTCAAGAATAAATGAAATAATTAGTTGAGTCGATATGTTCATTGTTGTTCATTCATTGATAGATTCTTAACAATATCTCTCGTTTCCCTCGCATTAAAAGTAAATAATCAATAATAACATCTGTTTTAAGACTAGGATAAGCTGTGCATAAATTAATAATCTAGTCGAACCAGGCAGAAGCGCCATGCATATGATCGTTGAAGCAAAGGATCAAATTTTTCGCAAAAATTGCGTTTGATAAGTTTTATTCACGTTACTCGCTAGAGACAAAATTAGAGTAAAGGTAAATAATGGGAAGGATAACGGTAAATTAGACAGGAAAGGGAAAAGACGAAAACAATAATCTTAGGATTAGGATAAATTAAAAGAATTAATAACAATAACAATAAATGTACAATGTTTAACTTGTTGTCAGTATATTCACGTTTCACCAAATGACCAGTAAAAGGTTAGAGAGAAAAGAGAAGAAAAGAAAAGGTAAATTAGTGGTGGAAGTGGATGACAAGATGAAAGTTAAATTATATTGTTAAATAATGTATTAACGTGAACAGTTAGTTGAAGTATCAAAGTTCGTCAAGATAATAAGGTCGCTAAAATATTTGTGAATGAACCAGTTTCGGACATCATTAGTTGATAAGCTTAAAAGTGATCAAGAGAAAAGGTAAATAAGCAAATTAGTGTGAGAGTCAAGTGAAAGTGAGATACGAGGTCTGAGGAAAAGCGCAATTAATTAGAGGAATAAAACATCTATCATTGAGAATACGAGATGCATTGTTAAATAGCTTTCACAATGTTTCTCGATTAAAGGTTCGAGTAGAGGAGTGTTCATTTGCTTATCTTTTGCTTTTCATTACTATTTCATCGTTGTCATTCAAATATACTTTGTCTTCATGAGTACCAATGAATACTGAATAAAGGCGGTCGTCATCTTTTCCTTCATATATAAAGGTATCAGTAATATCCTGAATTTCAGATTGGTTGTGCTTGTGTCACAGGAGACTTCATTAAATTATTTTCTTGATATTGTCAACTTTCTCATTTCATTAATAAGTTTGAAATAGCAATTATCTGTTTGTGATTGTCTTCATTGTTTGATATTCAACGCTATCCAAGGTGCTTCAATATTCAAAATCGTGCAACTTTATTGTTTCCAAAATGCATTTATCGGTAAGTTTCATTAAACATTTATGATTAACTTAAAGAAAAGGAAATTGTTATGATTACTGTAATATAAGTGATTATTCCCCATTAATTGTGCTCTAAAAGTCCACAACTTTTATCAGTAATCAAGGATCATTATTTTATTTTAGATTGTTGCTTTTGCTTTACTTGTGACCTTGACCTTAACGGAGGCTAGAAATGATCTCAAGGCACTCGAAACAGCGTACTCATCGCGATACCCATTACCGCCACCAGAATATGAACAATCACATGGATCTTATGGGAAACATGATTCATCTTATGGAGCTCATGGACATGATGATTATGGTTAGTTTAATCGCCATTTGGATACCAATTTTATCTGTTTGTTGTTCACTTTTTTCAAGATCACTGTTTTGAATTACTAAACAGGAACTCATGATAAATATGGTGATCACAATTCAGGATCTCATGGATTGAAGAAGTACTCTAAATATGGTTTGAACAAGGCTGATGGAGCTCAAAGTGGTGCTTATGGGCGAAACCATGGTTTCGGTCTTTACTCAAGGAATCGCGGTTATGGTTATGAGAAACATTATGCTTATGATAAAGAGGTAGGTCACTTGCACTGTCATCTCACTGATCTCATCTCTAGTTATTGTCCTTCATTCAATTAGTTGCTTTCAACTTGAAAGTTAATGAGGTCAATTTAAAGATGATCTAAGAACAAAAAGAAACAATAAAGTGGTGACAGTTGATGATGATGACCAAGAAAATGAAAAGATTGATGGTCATTGAAAAAATGAAAATGACAGTTTTCATGAATGATGATATAATAATTATTCATTTCTTTCCTTCAACACTTTTACACTTTTCAACTCGACAGTTTTCAACCAATAAACATGGATCAGATCATGCAACTCAATCTGGACACCACGGACATCATGATGAACATGGTCAACACGGTAAGCTAGGAATCAAACTGTTCTGCAGATCTAATTTTGACCAATTACAAGATAAATTTTCTAGTAAAACTCGAAAAATAACTGAGAAAGAGACAAAAGAAGATGAAAGACAAGCATTAATTTGAAAACTTTTATTCACCGAAAAGTGATTAAGAATACTTTTATAATTGATCACAATACTCGGACAATTTGATCGATATGTATTAATGAATTAAAGAGTAAAGTCTTAGTCGATTCTCTCGCTGCAATGATGAATAAACATGTACCATGGTAATCAAGTCAAGCATAATTCGTTTTATGTAATTGGTTCCACTATCCTCTTTGACATATCTTTCAATTGCTAATCTTGTTCTTATTCAATCACTATTAGACCTTGCTGCCCATGGAGACTACAAAAACGATCGATATGGAGCTCATGATAAATTCGGTAAGCATGGACATGGAAAATATGGCCACAATGCTGGATCCTATGGTAATCATGGACAAAACTATAAAAGGTAATGAAATTAATTTTGATTTATGTTAGGTAAAATTGTCTTGATTGGCTTAAGTAAACCTTGAAAAGTCCAATCGGTCGATGTACTTTTGTAATGAACCTTCATGTTATTGTTTTACCAAACAGTTTGAGATAAAATTACCAATTCAATTGACTGAATAAATTGAACTTATTCTGAAATCTCTTTTCCCTTATCACAGATTACCCAAACAACATGTCTCACCATACCTCGGAATGTACAGAGGAGGATATAATGCGCCATCAAACTATGAAGCACCCATTCCATATGAAGCATCTCATGAACAACCCTATCGAACCTATTCCGATGCACCAAAATCTGAGCCTCAATCCTCTAAATATTACTAGATACCAACTAATTTGAATAATATGGATGATGAGTTGACTAAAGATTTCCTTCAACATTGGTTGATCCATATTCTTGATCAAATCTCGAATCAATCTTATCATCTCAGCACGTGTAAAATATTTTTACAAGCCTAACCAATTAACCTTAAGAAATGAAATCAAGTGACAAAAGGTGACCAACAATTCATTAAAATATAAATGCATCAGACAAAAAAGCTAAACCATGAAAAAGCAACTCTTTCATTACCAAAATCAAGGTAATATTTGTAGACCTTTTTTTGGTGATTTTTTGTACATCAAGATCATTTGAAACAGTTGAGCCAATAAGCCCTTGTTACTCCGAAAGCTACCAAAAAAGTTTCTCATCATTATTCATTACTAATGTTATTTTCATCTAATCAATTGTAACTCACAATCTGGTTATTTTTGTTTTAACCCAAATCTTGATTCATATCTTCCGTCAACTCATCGTTCTACATGCTTTTACTTCTATTGTTTTTGCTCAAACTGTTTCCTAACCATAAATTGTTGACAAACAAAATGTAATTGTTTATTTGCTACAAATTATCTAATTATTAACTGACTTCTTACCTTTACTCAGATAATAACATGAAACAAAACGCGGTAAACGTAAAACAAAAGCCACAATAAACACACTTTTTTCACATCAATTAAAATCTCAATTAACTGTTGCTTCTTAAGAGGAAAAAATTCAGACAAACAAATGATTGTTACTTTGAATAAATTAAATCTCATTTAAATTAGTCACTTAGTTAATGGTCGATTAGCAACAATTAAACCTAATTTCATGCAAACCTTTGTTCTTGAATGTTACCCTTTGGCAGTCAAGAATCAGATTGAGTCTCGATATTAATTTTGATTTTACAATTAACCTTCAACTTTGATCATCTTCAACTAAATTTAATGTTCAACCTAAAAGTAAATCTCAAACAATTGTATCTACAATTTAATGAGCAACGGGATAAACAGTCCGAATAATGAATGCTGTTAAACACTAAACCATTATCATTACAAACAAATTTATTATTAAAGTGGGAATAATTGTCATCAAATGATAGTTAAATGTTGCTCATTTCACTTTCCTTTGCTGATACAGTAAACTAAATGAAATAATTTGACACAAAAATAGGTAGGTTGATAGGTCATTAACAATATCCCTCGTTTTCCTCGCATTACAAAGAAATAATCAATGATAAAATCTATTTTGTGATTAGAACAAGCTGTGCATAAATTAATAACCCAGTCGATTCAGGCAGAAACGTCAAAGGAAAGGGTCATATTTTTCACGAAAATTGCGTTTGATAAGTTTTATGCGCGTTACAGGCTCATTTCATTTGCAGTAACAAAAAGATCCGCCAGTCAGAACACGATTCTTTTCACTAAATCACTTTCTCATCCAACCCTTAAACCCCTGAGATAAAAATTAATCATGAAATATTCGTTATTAGTAATGCTATTGCTGAAGCAGGTATAAATACTTGAATGCAAAAAAGCAAAGACGCGAACATTTCTGTGTGTTCATCTTATCCACTGGATTTACACTCTCTCTAGTTTACTCTACAAGACTTGGTTTCGCTGGGAATCATACTAATGTGTATCACAATAATGTAATAATATTCAAAGTTTTATCATAATTATGACATTTGATTGCTTTCCATTGATTAAACGATAATCTTGATATTTATCATATTCACTCATAACGCAATAGCCTAACCAGGAAGTGTTGGAATATAATACCACTTATTATCATTTAGTGGTTAATCTCGATTAAATTGTATTATATTAATCGACATGAAGAGTTAGATTAACAAATGTGAACTCTTTAGATACATCTTTGTCATCGAGTTGCGACACTGAAAGATTAGATTATGCAGGAATCTGAATAACTTACCAACTCTGATACAAAATAATACAAAAGTTTAACAGGTATCTAAAGAGGTAGACGTTTCTGATTCATTTACTGCGAGTTTTATCTTTTCTTTGATGTGGAGAAGCAGCTTTCAATATAATAAAATACAGTCAATCGTCTATTAAAATTATGCAAAACGATCATTTGATGGCGAACAATTTCACTATCAAATACTTGATTAAATTGTTGTTATTAATTTATCTGAATATTTTTACATAGGAAATGGGAATAGTGAGAGACTCAGACTTGAGTTTTAATGCTCATGCTATCGATAAATAACGATATGCTATGGTATCGATATAATATTATATAACAATTAGCAAATAACATGCCTGTCACAATTTTTATCGAATTGTAATGACTCTGATGACAATTTATGGCTCGGGTTTAGTCGCATCTCATCGAATCATCATTATTAGAATTTAAGATTCAATTATTATAATAATTAATAATCGTTTTCTTTATAATTTTCTTCTGACAAGTTAACTATTGACCAATTTCAAAACAGTTCCAGTTCATACAATCCAACTATTTGATTAAATACTGGTTTGTCGGACTCTAACAGTTGGATTCACAGTCTCTCCCCTCTGGACCTCTACCTATCTTTTATTTTTTCAAAGAATTCTACTCAGAAACAGCGGTCAAAAACACTTTTAATTTTTGGACAGGGACTAAAATGGTACCAATCCTTTGAGGTCTAATTTAAAATGTTTCAATACTGAATACTAATGCTCTCTTTGATTCACCAAGATCTCAGCCATTGCTGACCTTAACTTCCACAAAATACATTATACATTCAACTGACCTAAGTTTTGGACGTCGCAAGGACTAAAATCATGATTTGAGCGATAGTCTTTTGGATAAGGTGTAAAGTTGATTTTAAAATTGTTATTATATGAGCGTAAGCGAAGGCTTTATTATGAAAAGCGTGCGGATATTACCCACTCTAGAGCCAAAACTACTGAGCCAATCTCAACCAAATTTTATATACAGCTTCGATATGTTATGGAGCATTGCAGACGAAAATTTGGTTGAGATTGGCCCACTTTTACGAAATTAGTAATTTTGATAAAGAAAACACAACTCACCTTTGATAGAAACCAATAAAAAAATCACATTAATTGTTAAAGTAAAACATATTTTTAGTCTTATCATGATGTAGCGAGAAGAACGAATTGAAAGAAATTAAAATTCGATAAAAAATGAAATAAAATTAATTTATAAACCATTAATGTAACAAATTAATTATGAAGAGTCAATGGGACATTATTTAAGAATAATGGGGAAACTGATAAAATTTTCATAAATAAAATTATGATTCGTTGGGTGTTTCTGATGATAGTTAGATATTCACATATCTGAATCAATGAATAAAACACCATTTATGCCAATTTGAAGATAATTGTCACAAGATTCCGTCAAAATAAGTTATATTTATCAACAAATATATCGCGAGTCCACTCATTATTTTCAGATTATTTGGAAATTAGAGCGAAATTTAGAAAAAAACAATGAAGGTTAAAATAGGATTCCATAAAATTAGATTAGAGGCAAAGTAATAATCTATACTTTTGATATTTTTGATCTAATTGTCTGATTATCAATTTGATTCTTTTATTCCAATGATTGAGACTCAATCCCAGTTTGTAAATTAATTTTTTGACGCGAAACAGACAAAAAGGAATCAATGTACCTAGAGATTTATTGTTAAAATTGTGGTGAATAATTTGCTTTAACCAAATCTCGTGAGCAATAAAATTCAAATTAACTTAAAATTTAAATGTCATTAAACGCACAATAGAATGAAAGGTTGTGTTGAAAAGGATTGACTAGAAAATAAACTCGATAGATGGTGCTTAATTTAAGTTTTAGTTGCATGTGTTAAGTTAACCAGTGCTAAGCAACCAGAAGTAACAAACCATGTAAAGTTCAATCAGTTTACTCTATCTTTTATAGTTATCTTCAACAGTTCAATTTAGTCTCAACTTACAAATCGCTGACAACAGGGAGAGTGATGAAGCGAATGAGATTATTGACTCGAGGATAACCGAGGATATCTTGATAACCAAATTTCGTTTGACGAACTGACTGATGTTATGGAAAAACGAGACGTAAGCTAGATTCATTTGTAGGTTTATTCCTGATTCTAATATTAATAATTGCATTTTTTTATTTCAGTTCCAGCGTAAATTTAATACACCAGTTCGATAGCATCAAGAATATATAGAGTCTGATGATCAGCAAAGTGACACTGAATGTATACCTGATAATCAGTCTAAAAGAAAAGGTAGAGACAAGCGACCGGCCGCAAAGGTGCAAGACGAAGTAAATGACTTATTTTTAGAGATTTATTAGGGCTAGAGATTTACATTCAATATTCTGTTCATTTCCAATTTAAGAACTTCCCTTATTGGTTGACTATGCTTCTCTTGATTTTTTTCAACAAAATCATTGAACAAAGCTATCTGTTTATGTACAATTGGATGATTCGGGTTTAAATTAATAGCTCTTTTCAAGCTTTGAAGCATTAACATCACCTTTTCTTTTCTGTAATAAATTTCAAAAGCCATCAAATGTGTAGATATGTTATTTTTAACCAATAATTGTAATGGTTTCAGGAACTTGATAGCTTCTTCTAAGGGGTTCTCTGGTCGCTCCAATTTACTTGGAATTAACTTCTCGTTGAACATTTCACCCCCAGTAGTCTCTTTGCCCGAGTTGGCTGCTACTGAGCTGTTTGCATCAGACTTTTCACCTGAATTTGGCAGAGAGCCAGAAGAATTTGAATTCAGGGGGTGAGAATGGTTCGGTTGTTCATGATTTTGATGATGAGAATTAGTTTCACTTGAATTCAACAAGTTGATGTTCCCCGAGTTGACAGTTGTAGCAGTGGACAAAGGTGATGCCGTAGTTGTCGTAGTTACACTGGATGATAATGTTGCAGATGATGCTGAGACTGGTCCTTGTTCCTTCTTAGCTTCAGCTTTTTTCTTGGCTTTTCTCTGTTTACTCATCATCTTTTTGAATTCAGAGGCACTTACTCCCTGAGGATTTATGTTTTCTCCAATTTCTTCATCTCCCAGCGGTTTGTCATATAATCCAAGATAGACTTCAATTGCAGTCTTGGCAGCATCGAAGTAGAATTTATGGCTTTTCAGGACATCTTCCAATCTTAAAAGCCCCATGTAGGATCGAAGTGTCATTTTTCTCATACAATAAGTATAGAAATCAAATTGATCTTCGGTTATCTCGGCAAAATGTCTGTCAATTTCAATACACTTTTTTAGTGAATCGCCCCATTTACCAAGTCTCTGGTAAGCTTGCGCTGCTTCATTCTGATACCACATACACTGCATTTCGTTCAGATTATCACTAGCACTTACCCCTTCACGGGTAAACTTTGAACACATCTCCTCAGCATCGCGAATACGGTTAGCTCTCAGTAAATATTTTGCACATTTCGAGTTGAGATAACGATCAGCTGTATCCAAACTTTGAGCTTCCTCTATGCAGAATACTGCCTCTTCAATGTTACCTGCGTGTTTGTAAATTTTACCCTTCAACACATAAAGCTCTATTAATGTTGGAGTATGACTAAGGGCTTCATTGATGAATTTCAACGCCTCCTCATAATTTCCTAAGTAATCAAAATGTTGAGCTAAATAGTAGTCAACCCATAGAATGGTTGTTGCATCCTCTAGACCATCACTTGAATCGGCAGATTCGAAGTAACCATGATTTAAGAGATTATCATGATATTTAAGAAAGAGTTTTTCGATAACTTGTCTTTTGAATAATGGTTGCTGTAAATATTTGTTTGTAAATAATGAAGAGGGTGGTGAAGATGAGGTGAAAGAAATTGATTGAGATTTTGCACCAAAATCGCCTCCACTTGAAAACGAACACTTTTTTGGTAAAGCATATAAGCTCTTCAAATCTCTGAATAAAGCTGGCTGTCCTTTCCTCAAGCTTTTCTTAATGTAGGATTCAGCATGTTTTTCGAATTTAGCTTCATCCATGATAAAGGTTAATGGCATTCTGAATGGCATTTGAGCTTTGGGATACAATTCTTGAAACTCCTGGTAAAGTTTTAATTTGGCTTCCTCATGATCATTTCTAAAAACATCAGAACAATCAATAGCAGTATTACCATTACTGCTAAGGTTACTCTTGCCAATATGATCCTCGCCATGATTGGTTTCGTTTTTGTTATTATTAGTATCGCCAATATCAGCCTCACTTAGTCCTAATGCTACTTCTAATTGCTTATAATAACTAGTGTTTTCAGGATTGCGAGCAATTAAATTTTCTCGTAAAATTTTGGCGGCTTCCGTACTTTTCTTCAATTTTAAGAGCAGCTCAGCTTTATACTCATGGACGGCTAGTTTATCACAAACTTCATTATCTCCATACTTGTTTAAATGTTCCAAGGCTTCATCATAGAATCCTCCTTCTTTATATACCATAACTTGGTAAAGAATTAGTTCTGATTGTTCATAGTCAACTGTGGTTTTAGAGTTATTGGTTCGGTGCGCTCCTTTATTTTGAGCATTTGCTGTGGTCTTTCTGAACTCTTCCAAGATATTTGCAGCTATCTCGTAGTCACCTAGCAAATGATAGGCCATAGCATATCCAATCCATGATGCTCTTTGTGTTGGTCGAAGATGCAATAGCTGAGATCGTGTATCACGATAACCTTCTATATCTCTCATCTGAATTTGTAAAAGACTAAGATCTCGCAAAATCTGGATATTGTCTTTATCCCATTTCAATGCATTTCGATAACACTTTATAGCTTCATCGTATTTATGGTCACTTCTCTGAAGTAGACCATAAACGTGCCAACAAACGTGAGATTTAAGATCATTCCTTAAACCTCGTCTCACATACTCGTAAGCCGCTTCTTTTCGTCCCAAGCAATTCAAGGTTAGTCCTTTCATGGCAAGCGTTTCTCCATGTTCTGATAATGCAGATATAATATAGAAAAAATGATACAGTTAAAATGGGTAAGAATAGCAAGTAAGATTGCAAGGGATTGAAATAAGGGGGGAGTTAGAAGGAGAAACATAGAATAACTATAAATCAACAATATAAATCAGTCAGAAATTGAATATAATAATCAAGATAAGAGAAAAAGGTTAAAATGAAAAATCACATGGCTCATTTTGCTATTGAAACCAATGACTTGAATCAATAGTAATTTTTATAGTATTTCAATTCAACAAATAGGCGATCAAAATACAGTCCAAGAATTAATAAATAAATATAAAATAATGATATTTACCTGAAAATTTAGGGTTAGAAAGAATTTGTTTGGCAAATTTTAATCCATTCTTATACTGTTTATGCTCATAACACTTTAATATCTTTTTAAATAAGGCGTTTTCCTTTGCAGGTAGTGGCTGTGAAGATGTTCGTGCGGTCATGTTTACCAAATAATACAATCACTTTAATTAAAGTGAAACAATTATAAAAATTAATTATGCAGACAAATACAATCTAAATTAAGCAAAAATGAAAAAATCTCATTAAAATTAAGACAAGGCTTGATACTTGGGAATCGCCCTCTACAGGTTTAATATTTATTAAGCGCGTTATTTGACCGTTGCAAGAAAAGGATTAAATCATTAGCTAAAAAAATTCCATTTTGATAATCTGTTTCATTGAATTTCGATGCTTCACTTTACTTTAAAATTATCTAAAGAAAATTTACTTATAAATTTATCAATTAATTGACAAATTTTTACAAAATAAATCATCATTAGTTACTTGAAATTTTTTAAACTTGGCGGTAAAAAAGGATTGTAACTGAAGGAAGTAACCACAGTTACTTGTTATGTTTGGTGACTAAAACCACATCTCGATTTAAACTATTTACATGCTTTATTTGTTTGTTAAATTCAATTAAATTACTTTATTTATCATGACCGTGCCATTTATTGAACAATCAAAAGAACATTTTTCCAAAAACAATCGAATCCGAGATTACCAATCGCACACATGTAAAGTTCATTCTGTCGACTGGAGCTGTGATGGACATCGCTTGGCTTCTGGCAGTGTAGATAAATCTATTTCCATTTTCAATTTGGACAAAGATCGGTTGAACAAGGAGAGCACATTGAAAGGTCATTCAGACTCAGTTGATCAACTTAGCTGGCATCCATCACATCCAGATTTACTGGCTACTGCCTCACTGGATAAAACTGTTCGTCTATGGGACTCACGGGTTGCCAAAAATTACGCTACAATCAATACTAAAGGTAAAATCTCAAGTTGATTTTAAAATAGCTTTAATTTTGAGCTGCACATCATTCATTGAAATATATTAGTCAAATTTATCTTTATCACTAATCTGATTATTCATGTTTTTTACTTCTGATTGTAGGCGAAAACATAAACATATGTTGGTCACCCGATGGTTCGTCAATTGCTGTTGGTAACAAAGAGGACCTTATCACTTTTATTGACGCTAAGCAGCAAAAAATCAAAGTTGAACAGCCATTCAAATTCGAAGTCAATGAAATTAGTTGGAATAATGACAATGACTTATTCTTTCTCACTTCTGGTCAAGGAGCTATTCATGTTCTCAGTTACCCCGACCTTCAACCACAAGTTGTTCTAAATGCTCACCCGGCAAATTGTATTTGTATTGAATTTGATTCTACGGGCAAATATTTTGCTGTTGGGTCCGCAGACACCATGGTTTCGATTTGGGATGCTAATCATTTAGTTTGTCTTAGAACAATTTCAAGACTAGAGTGGCCTGCTCGAGCTATCAGTTTCAGTCATGATGGAAAATTGCTGGCTTCTGGTTCTGAAGATCTCTTAATTGACATAAGTTACGTTGAAACTGGTGAAAAGATTAGTGGTGTTCCAGTCGATTCTCCTACATTCACAGTTGCTTTCCATCCTTCGAGGTATATCCTCGCCTTCGCCTGTGATGATAAAGACACATTTGGTCGTGATGCTGGAACCGTCAAGATTTTTGGGTTGCCTAATGGCAATTGAAAAAATGTTTAGCTTCACATATCAATTTTAAGATCTTGACATGGTTTAAAGGATGCAGTTCAACTATTGGTATTTCGATGATCTCAAAAATCGTGCTTTTTAGCATTTTAAAAAATGTATAAAATTCGTTTTCTTACAAAATTTAAATTACTTATTTTACTAAGATTGTCAGTAGATATAATGTCTTATATGGTCATGGTATTTGAAGTACATTATACAACATCTGACTTTTGTAATGTTGTTTGTATCTATTTATATAAAAAATCATAAAAAAAGTGTACCTAAAAAGAAACAACTTTCATTCTGAATTTAAACAGCTCCCATTTTAATTGTATTAGCATCTTCTACATTAGGATTAGACTCATCCGTTGCAACAGACGTTAATGTATCAGTGTAGCTTCCATCCGAGGGAGGAATTCCAATATTTGAAGATGACATTGGTTTTGGTACCAAAGTACCATTGTTCATGCGTTCAATAGCAACTCGAATCTAAAACAAGTAAAAAATAGTTTTATGATTTGTCCACTAAATTGTGAATAATTACTTACATCTTTAAGTGTAACTACACCAACCAAACGACCGATAGATGTTACATAGGCCAAATTTAATTGTAACATAGAAAATAGAGAATGAACTTTGATTAATGAAGTTTGTTCAACTAATTGAAATGGTGCTGGATCAATGTGACACGCTGAGAGATCAATGATTGAATTTAATTGTTCCTCTTCCCAGGCCAGTTGTTCTTCTGGAGACATGTCAATTACTCGTTCTCTAGGCTGTAATTGGAAAATCAATTGTTAAATATGTTTGTCTATTTCTGTTTATAAATTTATAAGTTGAAAATTATAAGTCAATTGATCAGCTCTGAAAATACGGAAAACTGACTTACCAATTGTACTCTCCGTTGAATTGAAGGAGTACTTGGTGCGCTGTTGGACACAACTCCACTAGAAACCTGTTATAAAGATGAAAAGTCGACAATATAAGATGTAAGGATGATGGCCAACTCAACAACTATCCATTAGAAATATTTTAATTGCTTACTTTGTTTGGATGAGCATCTTGCAGTTTCAGGCTCTTCATAAAAATATTTTCGAATGCTTGACGTAGTCTAAAGTCTAAGAGATTATAGAAATTAGAAATTCAAAGACAAGAATCATTCAATTATGACTTTGATAAAATTAGTGATCAACTATAAATGTATTAATAAAAAGTGTTCATTGATTCAAACCTTGTGTCAATGTTGAATTTGGTGAATATGTCGTGAAAGTAGCTGTTTGTTTCAAAATTGATTTAACAGGTGGTTTGGTCCCCATTGTTGGTGAGGGTGGAGGAGATGATCTTTTTTGTGCATTTTTGCCATCTGTGGACCCACCACCACTTCCAGTAGATCCAGTTGTAAATCCATCGTTTTGACTATTGATTAACCTCACTTCAAATCGTGATTTAGCTTCAGGAGTCTTGGACTGTGGCAAAGACTCCCTTGACGATTCCATTGTTGAAGGTAACGTTGAAAAAGTTCTAACACAATCTTGCTGTGAATATCGTCTTTGAACCTCTTGAAGACGTTTTTCTTTACTCAATTGTTTATTTAAAATATAACGCAGTTCATGACGCTGAATAGAGCCCAATAATATCATTGATGTTGGTGTATCAACTAATGGAAAGGTTTCAATTTTGAGATTGGTATCCAAAGTGTTTAATAAATCTTTATAAGAACATCGACGCCAAATGTAGACAATATCACGAGTCATTATATCGTCAACCATGATACGATGAGCTGTTGATGAGGTCGACTTGATTGAAGGTAGAAAGGGAAGCTTTTTTATTTCAATGATAGAATCGTAGATAGAAGGCTTCAATGACTGAGCAATTCCGTTCGCTATCAAAACTGACATAATAACGGGAATAATGTGTGACATTTGACCAGTTAATTCAAAAACGATAACTGTTGTTGAAATGGTGTGAGTTACAGCGCCAGCAAAAGCTGCAGCACCGACAACAGCATAACCTCCTGGGACAATTGGTATATTACCTGACAGAAAATAAAATATTAATTGTAAGCAAAGGCACAAACAAAGTAATTAATGATACATACGATCGCCAAAAGGGATGCCGTCTGGGCATAAAACAGCCATAATCTCTCCAACAAGTCGACCAAAAGCTGCACCCATCAAAAAAACTGGAATGAATACTCCACTTGGAACAGGGATTGTCGAGGCTAGAGCTGAAGTCCACCACTGAATGAATAGTTAGGATAAAATCATTAGCTAAAAATTGCAGTTAAACGAAAAGCTCGTCAAAATGAATAGCCATTTGTGGCAAGCCAGAAATCGAACGAATAAAAAACTCGCAATATGGAGTTGCGACTTGCAACTGACTATTTATTAAAAAAGCCTTCGATCAACTTGTCATTTAATTTGATGACTTACTGTCATAAAAATGTAGAAACAAAGATGAAAATAAAAACTTGTGTGGTCAGTCGTCCAATCCTTTAGAATACCTTGAGTAACATAATCTTCAGATCCTGAACCCCAAGTTATATTACTAAATAACTGGTCAACTAAATGATGAGTTGAAATCTGGATAGAAATAAACAAATTTATCAGTTATTGGATAATCAATAAATAGCATAAATGTATAAATGATTAAAATTTGGCAAATAACAATGAAATGTCTACTAGTTATTGTTAAAAAAAGTCAAAATTTCCATGAACAAGAATCGAGAAATGATCCGATATGTACATTGTTTCAAGTCAAATCTTATCTTAACTGCGTTAGCTCAAGATCAAAGGTGAAACTTATCAAATCAAGGAAATTTACTTGAGAGGCTAAAAATGATTAAAAATATGATTTCAATTGTTTCAACTTAAACCTAATGTATTTAGCGTATAAAACAAAGTTGCAAATTGTTCAAGTTCGAACATTTTTAACCTTGCTTATTCTCCAAGTTAATTATAGATTGCGATAAACAAGATACAAGTTGGGATGTATTTAAGATATTTGTATTTACTATTCACTGTTGGTCCACTTGAAAGTTACCTTGAAAAAGCAAGTGAATGAAAAGTAAAAAATGAAATGATCGACGAGTCAAACACTAATAAACTCAAACAGTTACAATAAAAATATTACAACTAACAATCAATGATACTTTTATTTATGATAATATCTACCAACCTACTTACCTCAACAGCCATATATTTACCTAGAAATGGAGGAAATGTACAGCTTGTGATAATTAAAGTAACCAGGCCGGGATATAGGAATCGACTGAATGAAAAAATAATAAAATTAATTATCTGATTATTTGGAACAATTTCAGCATTGAAAACATGCAAATATTTCAATTTACTTGTAAATTGACCGCTGATTTAACATTTTGTAAGAAAATCATATCTTATAAAAGATTCATTTTGATCATTAATTGAAAACTTACTTAAGTTGAAGAAATTGATTCCATCGTTTGTGATTTCGATTGAATTGAACAATTTTACGATGAAAGGCAACATAACAAGCACCTCCAAAGCCGCTGAAGGCACCAATCAAGGCAAAAACAAACAACTCTTGAGGATCAAAGGGAAATTCACTTTTAAAACTTGTCCTGAAAAGTGCAGAAATGGCTGTGAATTAAAATTAAACATCAATCAGGCAATTAATTAATGTAACAGCACTACTGTAAAATGTAAATATACAAAATGTTCTGTTTTCTCTCTTCTATCGCATCGAATTGAATTTTTGTTTTTCATCAACTTCATATTGATTTTAATCTTTCAAAAGTAATTCGAGTTTTCATCGAAAAGTGTATTAAGATTCTGCTTGGTGAAATGAAATTTGTAATTGACAAAACTTTTGGCTCAAATGTTCTCTAGATCAACAGTTACATCAGCATAAAAATAATTGAATGCATGGCATAAAAAGATTTGAGTTCAATTTGTTGAGCTTAAAATCTGATTGAAACAATTATGACAATTTTGGATCGTATATTTGAATAGGTTAACCGTCAAGAAAACTTACAAGCATCTTTAATCCAAACAGTCAACAATCTCCAAATTGTGGCCCCACAACAAGCAGCAAAAAAGCCTCTCCAGTAGTTTCTTACAGCAAAATAAACTGATGTTACTTCAATTGAAAAAAGGACTCCACCAATGGGTGTATAGAAGGTGGCAGCAACACCAACTGCACACGCAGCTGCTAACATTTCCCCTGTTCGAGATTCATTCTCATAGATGCCCTTAAAAGTGGTCACCATTCGGGACAAAAGGGTAGCCATGATGGAAGATATATGAACAAAAGGACCTTCTCGACCCAAGGGTAATCCTGAGGCCAGAGTAAACGAAAGGCCAACAATTTTGGCCACCATGGTGCGGAAGGTTAGGTACTCATTGAGAACAACTCCACCGAGAATGGTCTTCATCTCAGGTATTCCTGAACCAACTGCTTGTGGAGCAACAATATGCACAAATCCAGAGGCAAACAAAATCATGATAATCGGTGTTGTTGTCCAAGCAACGAACTTCCAGATGGGTGAATCGTTAGTAAAATCTTTGTATAACCTTTGTCTAGCTGTTATGGTTGATTCAATAACTATATTGATGAAAAATGAAGTAAAAGCCATGGACATTCCTAGTAGGGCCAAAAAAATCCAATCTTCGCCAATTTTGGCAAAAGTATATTTCCAGAAAATTTGAAAATAAACTGAAAGGCAAATAGAAAAATCAGATTAATATCAGATAAATTTTCAAAATAAATGACTAAACATAGCTGAATCAAAGAGCTTCAAGTCAGAATTTTCAAGGTCTGATAGGTATTTTAAACCTCTAATCTTTTTACCGAGTAAGTTATCGACTTTCGACAAGCTGATTCCAGTCTAAAAAGATGGCGGCTCTGAAAATAAATAAATATTCCTATAGTTATGCCCACTAACAGAAGTGAAAGATAAAGCAAAGCCCTACATAATGAGTGCATACAGAATCATCAGAATGGTTTAGTAACAGAGTTAACGACTTACTAACTTTGAGAATTCATTTTTAATTATGATTTTCTTTCATGAGTTTTCTCTAATTTTCAATCCACAACTATTTCAACCTTTTTTATGCAAAATACTCCAAATCTGATTTTTTGAATAGTAATTTGAATGAAACAATTAAACAATTGTACTTGTACTGATTATGCAATTGCAAACCTTAAAATTGTCGGAAAAAGACTAAACTAGTTAAACTTTTGTTTTCAACATTTCAATTCAAAGACAATTAATCATTGAATGTTGAATTATAACCCAAATTATAATAGAGACTATTAAAACTTGCAGACTAAAATTGAATAGCCTGAAACAATCAAACAGCAATCGGGAATTTCATCGGCAAAGTTACCAAGGTTTCATGATTGCAATGAAAGTGAATTACAATTCAAAGTCTGTCAATTTTACAAACGATTTAGTTTAATTAGCCATTGATACCAATGAAAAGGTTGATTATTTGTTGCAACCAATAAACATTATTTTGAGTTCATTTCATCATTTCAACATGCTCTTTCATTTATTACAAATATCAAAGTCTGATTAGTCCAACAATTAATGCGCTCATTAATCAAGTATGAATTGCATCAAATTGTTTGACCAATAAAAAATGATCGAGTCATTGGAAGTTGATTGAAAATCAGTTTAATTATGTGACGATGAAAACGGAGCAACAAAGTGATGACAATAATCTTTCAATTGAATCAATTAATACATGGCATTTCAATTGTAAAACATTAAGTTTCAATTTTAATCCATGATGAAATTGATCATTACAAGTTTTTTACTCAAAACATTGAATAAAATCAATTGTTGTCCATTGAAATAGTCATCAATTCACTAATGAACTAATCTTACGAAACTGTAACTCTTAAGTTATAACATGTTATTATAACGTACTTCATCTGGATTAGTGAGTTTTCATCAACACTTGACTCATTATCAATGTTATTATAATACGAGATTAAATTGTCAATAGTAATCAACTCTTCATACTCAGAGCTACTTTCCTTACTTAATTGTATTTCCAAATACTAGTTATATCAATAATTGACGTAAATAGCGTAAATAGAGTAATCAATGAATGGTTCGAGCAAAAACAAAACAAAACACAAGTACACAATGTTAATATAATTCAAGAGTTGAATTATCAATAAAATGAAATAATCTTTGATCGATTGAGATCATAATATCATAATTTGAAATTAAACTGTAATTTCGAGCGTGAAACCTGTCGAAGCTCAATTGACTAGTAAAATGCAAAATTTGAAGTATCGTCAAATCGTTAGTTACAGATGAGATTTAATTATTTTTTGGTAAATAATCAATGAAACAAGTATCGTCAGATGAGACAAAGTCAAGAGTTAATGGGTTTATTTGAAACCAATTACTGTACTGATTAAGAGGTTTAATCATTAATCACAATCAAGGAAATATTTCATTATTAAAACATCCTCAGCCGATCAGAGTTACAAGTAAATAACAAAAACAAAAGTCAGACAAAGAGACAAATATTTGTTAATAACTCAATTGTCAATGTTAATTATTTCCTGATTAGAACAATAAACTAATTAGATGATAAATTAGACAGAAGCAATTAGTTTCAATAGAAATTGATTAAGAAAGCTCATTGATTTAATGTAATTTATTTAATAATATGATCACCATTTATAATAGGAACACAATTATGATAAGTTATGATAATGATGCTGTGATTTGATTGGGATCATTGTGAGGGAATCTAGTAAAGACATGAACATGTGTTGACGTTGGTACATTGACACTGATTGTTAACTATTAATTTTTACTTGTAAATCATGTTTCATGTGTAATCAAGTTTGTACACTTGTTGATCAATAAGCGTATCAATTAGATCAACAGTTGAACTCGACTCTTACCTGATAATTTTCTTTTCCAGGTTGACTGATATTTTTTGAAACCTTTTTTAATTAACGATGTTTCCTCTTTGCGTTTAATTGCTTTTACACGTCGAGCTTGTGCTTTTGCGAATCTGCCCAGATCTTCTCGGTATTGACCATACATCTGATAGATTGAAGAGAAAGAAAAAGATTCAAATTGAAAATTCATGTTCATCAACAGTTTCATTCATCTCCATTCAAGTGGATCAAGGTTGGTTAAAGTTGTGAATCACTTGAATACTGTAGGCACTCACATGGGCTAAAAGGTAATCATGTACAACACCCATGATTCAAAGATTTTATATTAACAATTGAAAAGTTGAACAAAATTCTGGTTTCTTTGTATCACTTCATTTTGTTGCATCAAGTCAAAGTTGGTTTAAGTAGTTGGCTTGAAATAAAATACTGAAGTTGAATTGGTATGAATTTGAGTTCATTGATTGTCAACTCAACAGACTGTTCCTAAAAAATGGATTATCTTTAAGATGTTCAAGATGACTTGAACCTCTGAATTGATCAGACTCGCAACTAACACTTGATTATCTTAAAAAAATGAATTATCTTCCATCTTCACAGCTTTCTCTTCATTTCTCATCTTTCATCTTTCTCACTTTGAAAAAGGTGTAAGATAGCAAAGTAAACATGATTTGATCAAGTAACGTAAAGATATGGACTTGAATCTATGAAGAGAATTTATTTGAGATTAAAAATGATTGAGATAATCTTGTTAATTAATTGAACGACAGTTGAATTAATAGCTTTTATTAAACTGTTTTGCATCTTGAACTCCTCTCACAATTTTCACTTGACTGACAAAAATGAGTTTCAATCATAACCAGAGATTCAAGAATAACATTTAAAATATTAATACACGAAAACTTTTGTTCAGATCTAATGATTCATTAAATGATACAAAAATAGGTGTCAGTTATTTTTCAAATTGAAATAACAATAACATCGTAATATAAAGCGCAGTATCATCAGTGAATATACAGATTGATGCATATTCAATTAAATGCACCTAAACACTGGATTTTTAACATCAGAGGGCGACAAATTGATTTTTGAGCAAGTAATTGAAGCAATGCTATCTCGAATCAAAAGCTTGACTCTAAACTCAAATCTGGTTAATAATCTTGCGCACTATTTTTTCATGTTAGAAAAAGTTTTTCACCGTATTTTTAACATGAAAATTGCGAAAAATCGCTTAATAACTGAAGTGACCTTTGATGGCCTTGAATTTTGTCTAAGCTCTTAAAAATGCCCTGAATCATTCGCATTTCAAATATTAATATCGAATTTGCCGCAACAAAAAGTCAAAAGAAGAAGAGATTTAGCCATTTGATACGCTAAATATTATATAATATAATAAAGGCACATTTGCGAATAAAAAGCTAAAATATTATGTTCTTATTTATTATGCTTTACAATATAAGTGAAAAAATCGTATCATCTCGGAGGTTTGTCTTATGAAAAACATTTCCAGAGTTGTGTTGCAATTATATTTAAAATCTCAAGGAAATTATAGTAAAAATTATCGAAACTTGGAAAGAAATGTTCTTTATCAAACTATAAAACTTTGGAGAACGACGTCTGATTGAATTGTATTCAGATGATCAAAGTGGAGTTTTGGTACCAAAAAGATACTTCTTTGTTGATCAACTCAAGTTTGAAAACAAAGTTTATTCACACTTACAATTGTGAGAAGGAAAAAAGGAATCAAACATTTTGCTCTTGAGGAGTCATTTGAGTATTCTTAGAAAGTCAGATCGTTGGAATTTGGTGTGAACAAGTGATCCATGATGAACATGGAACGAGAATCTGATTTAATTATTCTGAATAGTCTATTTGAAACTGATGATAAAATCCACTTAAAATATGCAGCAACTTGAAAATTAGCAAATCATTGAAAATTTGTAGTCAAGCAAGTTTTAAACTCAACTAAACATCTTGTACAATTTCATTGCAATTGTTATAGTCAATGAAATCAAATCAGATTCATATTTGAATAGATTTTGGAACCAGAGAAATCCCAATAAAATAGCAAAATTTATATCTAATTGTAATTTTATGCTAATTATTTTCATGTTCGTTCTTTTTAATTCTGTTATTTAATTTTAAAAGGTTTTTACATACTTGTATCATACTTGGTAAATATTCAAAGTCAATATTAACAAGTTTCTATCATATGTTGACAATAAAGACAAAGTTCAGTATTGCAGGACGATCTGTAAATCATTTGAATAAATCTTTCTTCAACAATTATTTTGGTTGCTATGTTATTAAATAATACTTTACAATGCCCGAGGCTTCATTTTAATAGAAAATTGATGATATGTTACTATGACTAGCTTGATGAATAAAGCTGAGCGACTCGACTCAATATACGTATTATTACATGCATTTCAATGATGAGGCCATTAAACTATTCAATTTGTTGAAGTGATTTCAACATGAACATTTCAAGGTTAACTTTTAAAAAAGATGAACCCGAAAACAATGCGACAGAATATGGATCAACAATTGAATTAAGGTGCTACTTTCATCAGTTATTATCATTATTAGTCTTATCCAGGTAAATAACAGGTTAGGATTTCAGATCAACAATTGACACGGATCGATGCATGTTTCATTGATATATTAACTTGATCTTCATCAAGAATCAACTTTGCAATCAACTTCTTTTTCACCTTCTCCAACTTGTTAATACATTTCTTTTAACAATTCAAGATCAAATCATGCTTATCATCTTAAATCATCATGATAAAAGGTAAATATAACTTGAATAGTCAACAAGTTTCCCTGATTAACTATTGAGACTTGTATGTTTTTCCTGCTAATCAACTAGATCACCAACGAAAATAGTCCATCGAGTCTTGCAAGTTCGACCTGATTGGTTAATTTTGACCGGTTGGAAAAGGTCTTTGCTTAACTCCACAAGGAAAGGTGTTTGTCTGTTTCTAATTAAACACGCTATAAGTAATTGATTTGATCTACAATTAATTTGTTATATAAATATCAAATTACCTTTGATTCAATTTATCATGTGTTTGGTTAAACATGGTTTAAATGAGTGAATAAAGTGTTATAATAATAGGTCTGGTTAAAGAGAAAGGGCATCGATTTATAATTTACTTACCAATGTATGCTCATATCCGAGCGCTGATCCTCTACGAGTCATTTCGTTGCTCAAATGGACAATCAAATCGTCCAACTAATTGAGTTTATTCAGCCCTAATAGTCAACGACAAATAAAAATAGAAACTGTTAGCGGAAGAAAATGAAGGAAGAACAGAGGAAAAGGTTAGCATGGCAGTGGTGGGGATTAAACAGTGATATTGTTGGTAAGTGTAATGCTATTTATCCCCTTTCACATTGTATGAGATTTGTGATAAAAATAGTTGAATTGTTGGACAAAGTTGGACAATCAGAGAGTTGGTTGATTTAATAAATAAATACCTTTTGAACTGGTAATAAAAGATGATTTGTCCAAAAATGGTATAAAGTCAGGCTGATTTCATTGGCTAGGGAAAGGGCATAGACTTAACATGTGACAAATGGAGAGCTAAAGTTGAGTTTTTTAATATTAAAAGACACTGGCTTTAATAAACATATTACAATATATAATTGCAATAATTAATCATTGAAATAGCACTTAATGGTTTGATTATCCTTTGCAAATGACGATCACAATGAGCAGAGTTTTGAACAGCAATTTGTCAAAGTGTGTAATAATCGAGAAACATTAAATAACAATGAACGAGGACAAGTTATTGATGAGAATGATTATGATGATAGGAAAGATGAGTGAATGGTGGAGAGAGAGAGAGAAAGAGAGAGAGAGAGAGGGGGGAATGAAAGACACAGAGAAAGTCAGAAGATGAGAAAGATTTAACAGAAAAGTAAAGATATAAAGACAAAAAATATGATTTACTGTGAATAATTAACATGAGTTGCTAACTTGATTGTCAAGTTGACAATCGTCAGTGACATTGTTTTGTTTACAGATACTTTGTCTATTCAAGATTTGTAAAGACACGGGGCAAACATTTGTTGATCGTTGAAGATGATTGAGATTAAGGAAGATAGACACACATAACAGAGAAAAGAAAGGAAGATTAAAGAAGAGAGTGTCAAAAATTGGGAGAAGAAGACGAAAAGCCCAAGAAAAAGGGGAAAGTAAATCAACGTAAGAAAAGTATGGAAGCTTCAAGCTTGATTCTTTGCTTATGATTTCAGTCAAAATACGGTTTAGTGAGTTTGAAGAAAGGGATTGAAAGAGGAGGAAAATTGTTGAAAGAGAGGAAGAAAGGGACATAGAAAGACAGAAAGACAGTGAGTGAGCAAGTGTGCTCGCTCGACAGAGAGAGAAAGAGAGAGAAGATGTAGGATGATGAAGATAAACCGGTAAAAGTGAGCTGATTTTTTCAATTGCAATTAGAGTGAATTTAAAATATAATGAGGAAGGTGAAAATAAGGTCACTTATTGTAATATTGCTCTGTACATTGGCAAATAAAAAGCCGATGATGGCGATGATTAAATATGATATTTAATTAAAGTGATTAGTTATTTGCGGTTATTTCAATTGAACAAATAAACAGTTTGGTTTTAAGCTAAATATCGATCTAAAGCTTTGTTGTTCAATTTGAGTTTCCATTGCAGTAGCATTGTCGTTTGAGGCTTTCAATGATTGTTTTTGTATTCAGATTAATAACGATTCAAACTTTTTAATGACGCAATTTTTACTTCTCAGTGTTGATTCATCACTGAAACAAGGTACAAGTTGTTATTAACATTATTTTAATCAAATCGTTCAAATTAACCCTCGTTTTGTTTTTGTGCTCATTCAAGTTTTCTAGGTAATTCTTTATCATAAACTCATTTGGTTGAACAAAATGAATTAGTTGTATTCATTAAATAATAATCTATTCAATTCTGATTTTTGTTGTTGGCGTTTTTCGTCTAATGGTTTTATTTGTTAATGACTAATGTCTGATGATTGGTTAATTTTGATTCTGAAATAAATTACAAAACATATTTTGTTTAATTGCGACTCTATAATGATATTTAGGGAAGTTGGAAAAGGACAAAATCAGCTTTAATTAAGGTTAATTTACATACGAAAATTATTTTAATGGTTTACGATTTTGTACATAAAGAATTGAGTGAAATAAAAACAATTATATACAAAATTTATAACGCAGCAATGATATTATGATTTCAAAGAATTTGAATCGCCAATTGTCAAATTGTTGAGTACATGATCAAGTTAATTGTGAACGATAAATTTATCTATTTTTTATACAACAAAATATTTAATGAGGTAACGACGCGCCAAAGCTGGTGAGCCACTATTGCGATAAATTAAGGATAGATTGAATGATATTTCTCGATTGAGATTAAAACGAGCCTAGGAATTAAGAAAATTATACTATTAATTAGTTTCAGGTATTAAAGAGCGAATAAATATACCTTATCAACATCTGAATCAGAATCAATTTCAGAAATGCAATTTAATGCTCTTTCATAAAAATGTACAGCTTCGTTGAATAGACCAAGTTGATGGAAAGCCCGTCCAATGTTATAGAGACTTTCTTGACATTCTCCTCGGGCCTCAAGATAAAGATTGAGAAATGCACACATCTATTGAATGGAAAATGAAAATAAAGTTTATCAATATTTGCAATGGAATAAGAATAATGTAATAATTAACCTGATTAAATGCAGAATGACGATTACTGGTAAATTTTTGGCAGGCAAGATGAAGAAATCCAATGGCAATACAAAGAATAGCAAATGGATCTTTAGGATTTTCTTTATGTATATTTACATATTCTCCTGTTGAAAATATAATTAATATGAATTGAAATAAGCTAATTAGTGATAAATTAATTAAAAACTTACCCAAAGCATGTTTATAGCTTCCGCTAATTAAAGCATTGTGACCATTAAAATAAGCTAAAGCTGTTATATCCGGAAATTTGATAAAGTGTCTTAAACAGAATCTGTTGTGTCTAAGATCTTGATAAACTAAATTGATTGTTGCACCAAATATATTCCAAATTTGTTTATTGCGTATATCCTGATAAAGAAAAGGGGATAATTGTATTAAATATAAAATTAAAAACAATGAGTTTAAAAGAAACAATAGAAATAAAATTACCCTGGAAAGAGCATTCTTTGCCAGACTGTAAGAAAATTTTTCATCTCGAACTTCGAAGAGTGCCATGAGAGCATAATAATCAATATGTTTTAAGTATTCTCCTTCACTAAAGGCGGAAGAATATGTAGACAATGCAATTCTGACTAATTCCTCTTTTTCATTCAGCTTTTCAAGGATAACTCGACACAATTTTAAATAAATGTTAATAAAATCCTTGAAGTCAAGACCTTTACCAACAAAATCAAGATCCGATTCCCTTCTGTTGGTGATGCCCATTTCTTTTTGCACATCTCTCAAGTTCTCCAACCTTCTTGCCAAAGAAGATGATGTTGCAAGTATCATAAGTTCGCGTTCAGTATCAACAAACTCCATTTCATTGCTTAAAAGTAACTTAGCAGCATGTACGAAATCTTTCCACATCTCTTGACGATACAACAAGTCACATCGTAATTTAAGAAGCTCCAAGTTAACAATGGCAGAATTATCTTGATCTGAAACATTTGTGGCGTCTTGAGGTCTCCCAACTCTGATTAAAAGATCTGTAAGCTCGAGTTTGGCTTCGTGATCATCTGGACACGATCGAACAACTTCTCTATAAGCTCGAATAGATTCGTCAAATTTTTCAAGTTGACGCAAGCAACGGGCATACTTTAACCATACTTGCGAATTGTGGCGAGCTTTACTAACAATTAATGCAGCTAAGAGTGGCTCGGCTTCTTTGTGCAGCTCAACACCGGCATAGGCATCAGCGATATCCAAGTAAAGATCACTCATTTTCTCTGCACTACCAATCGTTATACCTCGAATTAAATTTTTTACAGACAACATACACCCTAAATTGATCAAACAAACAACAAGTTTTGCTTGCAAATCAACAGGCATCTCAAATGTTAGTTTAATCTCGACTTTCGCAGGGCAAATTTTTGACCAATTATCAGGATCAAAGTTTGTCAATTCTTCATCTTCAATTTCTAATCTGATTCCACAGAATTTCTGGAAAATTTCTAATGTTTTTAAATACTTTTTCTTGAAAATTAACAGCTCCAAATATAGATTGACACCTTCACCAGTCACAAACTTTTCAAATTTGGCAAAAGTAGATTCCATTACTTTAAGACTAGAATTGATATCTTCATTATTAAAATAAATTTTAGCAATTTCTTTGGCCAACTCCATTGCATCTTTTCCATCTTTTAGTTCACCCAATAAACTAGTATAAGCATCAAGAGCTTTTTTGAAATCACCAATCTTTTCAAAAAGTTGACACCTTTGTAAACGAATGTCAAAATTACCTGGAAAGACTTTGATGGCTTTGTTGAGACATTTTATAGCTTGCGAATAATTTTCCTGTTCAATAGCCATATAAGCAACCTTGATCCAGTGTTCTCCATCGGATGGACAGAGGTAAGCAGCTATCAGATTGTACTGAAAAGCCTTTTCAATTTGTCCCATCTCTTCATAAAGCATACCTAAAGTTAAAAATGGCTCTGGAGCAGTGGGTGCTTGACGTATTACTTCAGAACACATTGCGATAGCATCTTGATGACTACCTCGAGCAAAAGCCAAATTAGCCTCACCAACAAGCCCTGATAAATCTCTAGGCAATTTACTTCGTCTTGCACCTTTGCGACCGGTATCTTTGCGTCTACCTTTTCTTTTAGATTGATTATCTGAAAACCATTCAGGGTCACTTTGCTGATCATCAGACTCTATATCTTCTTGATGCAATTGAACTGGTGTATTAAATTTTCGCTGGAACTGAAATAAAAAAAATGCAATTATCAGCATCATAGGAATAAATCTACAAATTAATCTAGCTTACGTCTCGTTTTTCCATAACATCAGTCAGTTCGTCAAACGAAATTTGGTTATCAAGATAGCGTACAGTCGATAATTCGTCATCAATTGTGATCCTCGGGTCAATAATCTCATTCGCTTCATCACTCTCCATGTTTTCAGCAATTTGGAAGTTGTCAAGACTGTACACATTATCTTCATTGTCACTTTCTTCAGAACCTTCGCTCATCACTTCACTTATAACCAGATTATTCTGGGAAATAGAAAAATAGACATAACTTATATTTTGCATGAAATATGGTGATGAAATAATTGACAGATTATTATAAACAAAAGCTTACCGTTCTCCATGATTTCTTGAAAGTTTCCCATTGCTTCTCAGTAACCTCTTTCATAAGGTTATTGAGAAGCTCAGATGCATTGCCATCAGATTCCATAGCTTACCAAAGATAAAAGTTTGAAAGAGTTTACTAAATGGAAGGAAAAAAAAAATTAAACTGATTGAACTTTACATGGTTTGTTACTACTGGTTGCTTAGCACTGGTTAACTTAACACATGCAACTAAAACTTAAATTAAGCACCATCTATTGAGTTTATTTTTCAAGTAACTAATGATGGTTTATTTTGTAAAAATTTGTCAATTAATTGATAAATTTATAAGTAAATTTTCTTTAGATAATTTTAAAGTAAAGTGAAGCATCGAAATTCAATGAAACAGATTATCAAAATGGAATTTTTTTAGCTAATGATTTAATCCTTTTCTTGCAACGGTCAAATAACGCGCTTAATAAATATTAAACCTGTAGAGGGCGATTCCCAAGTATCAAGCCTTGTCTTAATTTTAATGAGATTTTTTCATTTTTGCTTAATTTAGATTGTATTTGTCTGCATAATTAATTTTTATAATTGTTTCACTTTAATTAAAGTGATTGTATTATTTGGTAAACATGACCGCACGAACATCTTCACAGCCACTACCTGCAAAGGAAAACGCCTTATTTAAAAAGATATTAAAGTGTTATGAGCATAAACAGTATAAGAATGGATTAAAATTTGCCAAACAAATTCTTTCTAACCCTAAATTTTCAGGTAAATATCATTATTTTATATCTATTTATTAATTCTTGGACTGTATTTTGATCGACTATTTGTTGAATTGAAATACTATAAAAATTACTATTGATTCAAGTCATTGCTTTCAATAGCAAAATGAGCCATGTGATTTTTCATTTTAACCTTTTTCTCTTATCTTGATTATTATATTCAATTTCTGACTGATTTATATTGTTGATTTATAGTTATTCTATGTTTCTCCTTCTAACTCCCCCTTATTTCAATCCCTTCCAATCTTACTTGCTTTTCTTACCCATTTTAACTGTATCATTTTTTCTATATTATATCTGCATTATCAGAACATGGAGAAACGCTTGCCATGAAAGGACTAACCTTGAATTGCTTGGGACGAAAAGAAGCGGCTTACGAGTATGTGAGACGAGGTTTAAGGAATGATCTTAAATCTCACGTTTGTTGGCACGTTTATGGTCTACTTCAGAGAAGTGACCATAAATACGATGAAGCTATAAAGTGTTATCGAAATGCATTGAAATGGGATAAAGACAATATCCAGATTTTGCGAGATCTTAGTCTTTTACAAATTCAGATGAGAGATATAGAAGGTTATCGTGATACACGATCTCAGCTATTGCATCTTCGACCAACACAAAGAGCATCATGGATTGGATATGCTATGGCCTATCATTTGCTAGGTGACTACGAGATAGCTGCAAATATCTTGGAAGAGTTCAGAAAGACCACGGCAAATGCTCAAAATAAAGGAGCGCACCGAACCAATAACTCTAAAACCACAGTTGACTATGAACAATCAGAACTAATTCTTTACCAAGTTATGGTATATAAAGAAGGAGGATTCTATGATGAAGCCTTGGAACATTTAAACAAGTATGGAGATAATGAAGTTTGTGATAAACTAGCCGTCCATGAGTATAAAGCTGAGCTGCTCTTAAAATTGAAGAAAAGTACGGAAGCCGCCAAAATTTTACGAGAGAATTTAATTGCTCGCAATCCTGAAAACACTAGTTATTATAAGCAATTAGAAGTAGCATTAGGACTAAGTGAGGCTGATATTGGCGATACTAATAATAACAAAAACGAAACCAATCATGGCGAGGATCATATTGGCAAGAGTAACCTTAGCAGTAATGGTAATACTGCTATTGATTGTTCTGATGTTTTTAGAAACGATCATGAGGAAGCCAAATTAAAACTTTACCAGGAGTTTCAAGAATTGTATCCCAAAGCTCAAATGCCATTCAGAATGCCATTAACCTTTATCATGGATGAAGCTAAATTCGAAAAACATGCTGAATCCTACATTAAGAAAAGCTTGAGGAAAGGACAGCCAGCTTTATTCAGAGATTTGAAGAGCTTATATGCTTTACCAAAGAAGTGTTCGTTTTCAAGTGGAGGCGATTTTGGTGCAAAATCTCAATCAATTTCTTTCACCTCATCTTCACCACCCTCTTCATTATTTACAAACAAATATTTACAGCAACCATTATTCAAAAGACAAGTTATCGAAAAACTCTTTCTTAAATATCATGATAATCTCTTAAATCATGGTTACTTCGAATCTGCCGATTCAAGTGATGGTCTAGAGGATGCAACAACCATTCTATGGGTTGACTACTATTTAGCTCAACATTTTGATTACTTAGGAAATTATGAGGAGGCGTTGAAATTCATCAATGAAGCCCTTAGTCATACTCCAACATTAATAGAGCTTTATGTGTTGAAGGGTAAAATTTACAAACACGCAGGTAACATTGAAGAGGCAGTATTCTGCATAGAGGAAGCTCAAAGTTTGGATACAGCTGATCGTTATCTCAACTCGAAATGTGCAAAATATTTACTGAGAGCTAACCGTATTCGTGAAGCTGAGGAGATGTGTTCAAAGTTTACCCGTGAAGGGGTAAGTGCTAGTGATAATCTGAACGAAATGCAGTGCATGTGGTATCAGAATGAAGCAGCGCAAGCTTACCAGAGACTTGGTAAATGGGGCGATTCACTAAAAAAGTGTATTGAAATTGACAGACATTTTGCCGAGATAACCGAAGATCAATTTGATTTCCATACTTATTGTATGAGAAAAATGACTCTTCGATCCTACATGGGGCTTTTAAGATTGGAAGATGTCCTGAAAAACCATAAATTCTACTTCGATGCTGCCAAAACTGCAATTGAAGTCTATCTTAGACTATATGACGAACCGCTCGGAGATGAAGAAATTGGAGAAAACATAAATCCTCAGGGAGTAAGTGCCTCTGAATTTAAAAAGATGATGAGTAAACAGAGAAAAGCAAAGAAAAAAGCTGAAGCTAAGAAGGAGCAAGGACCAGTCTCAGCATCATCTGCAACATTATCATCCAGTGTAACTACGACAACTACGGCATCACCTTTGTCCACTGCTACAACTGTCAACTCGGGAAATCCCCACTTGTTGAATTCAAGTGAAACTAATTCTCATCATCAAAATCCTGGACAACCGAACCATTCTCACCCCCTGAATTCAAATTCTTCTGGCTCTCTGCCAAATTCAGGTGAAAAGTCTGATGGAAACAGCTCAATAGCAGCCAACTCGGGCAAAGAGACTACTGGGAGTGAAATGTTCAACGAGAAGTTAATTCCAAGTAAATTGGAGCGACCAGAGAACCCCTTAGAAGAAGCTATCAAGTTCCTGAAACCATTACAATTATTGGTTAAAAATAACATATCTACACATTTGATGGCTTTTGAAATTTATTACAGAAAAGAAAAGGTGATGTTAATGCTTCAAAGCTTGAAAAGAGCTATTAATTTAAACCCGAATCATCCAATTGTACATAAACAGATAGCTTTGTTCAATGATTTTGTTGAAAAAAATCAAGAGAAGCATAGTCAATCAATAAGGGAAGTTCTTAAATTGGAAATGAACAGAATATTGAATGTAAATCTCTAGCCCTAATAAATCTCTAAAAATAAGTAATTTACTTCGTTTTGCACCTTTGCGACCAATATCTTTGTGTCTACCTTTTCTTTCAAATTGATTATCAGATATCCATTCAGGGTCATTGATTTGCTTGGCTCAGTAACATGTATATTCATAAAACACATTTCAGTGATTAAATCATTTGGGTTTTCCAAATCTAAATTTTATTTACATTTTTATTTACATTCAAATGAAGGCAACAAATTTACAATAATCAAAAAAACTTATTAATTCAAAATAATTGATTCAACAGGTCATCACAGGTTATTCTATTCATCTGGATTTAATTTGCATTTTCTTCTGAAAGCTTGTCCAACCTCTCTAATCCAGTGGTTAGCAACTAAACAAAAAAAAAATAAAAAATAAAGATTAATGAATAACCAAATTGAGCTTAGTGATGATTGAATCTGTTAATATGAACAGATCAGTAAAATGGTTAAGTTAAATGTTATTTCTTTGATTTGCTCAGCTCAAGTAACATGTATAAAACACATATCAGCGATTAAATCATTTGGCTCTTCCAAATCTAAATTATAATAGTCAACACTCCCAAATTAACAATGAAATTAGATGACAAAATGCACATGTACATTTACCTTCCTTCCAGCAAATTAATCAGAACAATAAACAATTAAACACATAATTCTCAATGTTGACTGCAAACTATCATCACAATTACTACGCTAATTGTTTCTTAAAACCATTTTGGGAAGCTAACTGAAAGAATGTATAAAATTAGGTAAAACGTGTTCAGCATAATGAGCTGTGAACTTGATGATTTTGATGATGCTAAATAATGAGCAAATCAAGTTAAATAAAAACTCAAGACATTCAGGATTGACCTGACAAGACGTAAATGTTTTCAACTAATTTACCCCATTTCTCTCCTAAAAGGACAGGGCAAGCTCCGTGCATGGTATCTTCATAAGCTTCACCATTGTATTGTAAATTGTACCAGAAAGCAGCTGAATTTTTTCTTGGTTTTAAACTAACACCAAGTCGAGGGAAAACAGTTCCACCACCTTTTTGAACATCACTCAGCTAAAATGAAATAAAAAACATGACATTAAAAAAGAGAAAGAAATAAAATAATAAAAGGTAAAGTTGAGAAGAAGAAGAAGAAGAAGAAGAAGAAGGAAAAAGGTGAAACACAAATATTGAATGTGGTTAAGCAAATTATAAAGGTCAGGTTAATGCGTTTAAAGATGTTTGACAGGAGAAGAGGACAAGAATCAAGATTAGCAGAGTAACAAGTAAGAGTTTAACATTAAATCAGCTGAGTTGATCAATTGACGGACCATCAAGAAAAGTCAACAGCCAACAGTATTTTTTGACCTCAACTTACATAAAACATTAAAGTTGCTGTTCTGTCTCCTGCATAAGCTTCCCTTTCTGGTACTAAATGACGTTCCTCTGGTGGTCGATCAACAATTAGATAGTCGTAATGAGGAGTATAATGTCCTCCCATCCCGTAGTTGGCCACTTGCATCAATTCAGAGTGACTTTCATTCATTTTGGTTGATAGACCGGTAACCTCGGAAACTCGTCGATTGATTCGGTCAATGAGTTCATCATCATCTTCGGAAAACCAAGTTGTTTGACTGGTTCGAGTATCAGAGATTTCATCGTCTTTTAAACTATCCGTTTGAACCTTGGCCCGAGTTAACTGTATTTCAGGGGAAACAGATTAGTTAATGTGAATAATAATAACATGTCATTAACCATTGACTTAATCAATCAACGCAACTCAATTAAGATAAATGTTAATATGATCGAAAGAAAATCCTTTTTTGTGTTTATCATTTAATGTCTTTCCTTTTATATAACACATCAAACAATCATTAACTGTTTATAAATATAATTTGTAATGTTTTCTGATTCTCTTACGACAATTAAATAACAATGTGTTCAAGCTTTTCATCATTACCATCGAGTTGATTATTATGTAGATGAGTAATTTTTAAAAAATGCATGTTTTGATTACCACAATTTAAGGGCCATTAAACTTTTTCATTTCATGTTCATCATTCACTAGACTAGACGATATAAAATCAGGCTCAATCCAAGATGTTTTTATTAATAAAAATCAAAAATGAAAAGATTCGCCAGAAAAATGAGTTTTTAATAGCTCTGATAACAATAATTGTTAGGCCCAGTGAACATGTAATTTGACGAAAGTAATCAATAGGCTAACAATCTAACAACACTATCAAAAGATCGGTTAATTGAAAATGGAAAAGTAAACCGACAACACAAAAAGAAATTGAGAAATTAAGGCAATTCGTTCCATAATTACGTTTCATTTTCAATTAGATCCATTTAATTCAAGTTTTGACAGTTAATAAGCATCTATTAAATTGTTAATATCATCTTAATTATGCATTGGCCAATTCGCATGGTTAATTCAATTTAATTTGTCAATATGTTACACATTAATCGGATTGAATTGTTACGATGAACGAGCAAATGTATTAAATAATCCTGAATGGGTTAAAACACAATAGAATCGCATTTCTACAATTGAATGGCAGCAATAAAAATTGTAAAATCTTGAAAATAAAATGCATTCAAATAAAATGATGAAAAGCCAAAATTGGTTGAAATATTTAAGATGGCAACTGGATGCTGATCCATTTCTGATTAGAAGATACATGTTCAGCTGATTGTCCTTTAATTGTACAACTTTGGCTGTCTTAATTGCAATGAAAACAAAAATGATTGATAACCAGGCTAACAGCGGCAATTTACATGTTGATTCATGAAAACATTTTTCTCAGGTAAAAATATAAGTGCAAAAAAGAGACTCAACTTTAAATTGGAGCTCAAATAGTTGAATAACATTAACCTAAACCTGAAGAAGAAGATGATGATAATGATGTTTTTTCCTCAACTTTTAGCTCACAAAAGTCTAACTAAGGTTAGGATCGTTGACAGTTACATCAACAAGAAAGATTCATCTGAATATCACAAGCCTTTTTGAATCCAACTCAATCTTTCGTTCGGTTTCAGTTTAATGACTGATTCGCGATTTGTGGTGATTCTTTGATTGACTGGTTGATTTAGTTGATGGTCATAATAGCGGTGATGGCGATCAACTTACCGCTGGAGCTGCCATTTCTCTAATTGTATCCGACTCTGAATCAGTAAGAAGATCATGAAACATTGCAATGAACGGCACTTTATGAAAAACTTCAACTTTAACAGGTTGCAATATTAACCATTTGCTTCCCATGTTTGAATAGTAACATGTTAAATCCTTGGTTTCAGCAGGAGTCTAAAAGAGTAAAGAAAAAAGCAAATTAAAATTACAGTCAACGAAATGGCTTGGAATGGGTTCAAAAAGTAAACTTTGAGTTGATTAATGATTTAAAAGTACCAACTTTAAGGTTTCAATTTTCATATTTTGTAACTTTAAAATACATTGCTGTAATGCACTTCACTAGTTATCAATTGAAGTTGAATTGAGAGAATGAAGAAAGTATTAATTCATAATTAAGATCAATTAGTTCTCTTCCCTATTGTTTTCAATAAACTTTGATAAATAACCATAAAATATACATTATAAAGATTCATCATTTTCTCAATTTTTATGCTGATTGTTGAATAGTACAGTTATTTGCTTCAATATTTCAATTGATGAGGAACCAACTGATGTACAACAATCAACTTCTGGTTCTATTAACCTTGACTTCATTTTAAGGTAATATTCATCATTGAATGAGTTATAAAGACACTCTGAGTGGGCCAAGCTTAAAATACAGTAGCACTTGATGAGGAAACAATCACTTCATAGTTTGATAATTTTGCTTGCATTTAGTTAATTTGATTACACTTCCTCTTATTATTGTTTGATATTGTCTTGACAAGATACAAATCACAAAATTGAAACCATTAAATACAATAATAACATTATTAGAGAAGTGACCATAACTAAGATTGTTGCAGTTTAATTTTGTTTCCAAATCTCACAATTGTGGTTTAAAGTTGGTCACTAAAGTAAAATAAATTGTTCCACAATTACTTTAAGGATGCAATTACAATTGTAATCGAGAAAAATCGATTAACCAATGGACAACTATTTGATTTCCTCTTCATCATTCACTTTCCATTTTGTAAGAATTGATGGGAAAATATAACATCAAACTGACTACTGGTTCATCTCATCAAAATTACTGGTTCAGACTCCAATCAAATCTGTAACAAGCAACAAAAATAATAACTCAAAATGAAGGCACATTACATTCGGCGTCTACTTTGTCTTATTTTGCGGGTAAAATAGCAATTGTAAGTAAGAGTGAATCGATCATTGATAAAATCCAATGTCAATTGTCGACTCTTTTCAATGTTGTATTAAAACTTGACAATTAATGATTAGCTATTAATAAAGTAGATTATTGAATCAGTAACTGATAAGTACTGTGCATTAATTGAACGGTCTGATGGACTGTTATCCGATTTACTTTATAGCTACAAATATATTTTTGAAACATGATTCCAATAGTAGATGTTGAACAATTATTATTAAATTGTCTTAAGGCCTTTAACTTTTCAGCTCGTTATCATAATATTCATCATCATCTCACTTTCATCTTCATTTATACAATTTAATGTTTTGCAACAATTTATCCGCATCTCTTTAAGAGGCAAATGTAGCTAATGTTATAAATGTAATGCGTCCATCGCTTGCTTTACACCGTCAGCTGTGTTTCGATGTGTAGTGTAACTGCCCAAAGCTTGCCTGTCTAAATAGTGTTTCATTTTGCTCTCAGCATCTTTAACATTCCTTAAGACGCTTTTATAATTTAATCAATGAACAGGTAAAAAAAGAAAAACTATATTTAGATCTAATTTATCCGGAAGAGCGGAAAACAACATTTTCCTACATCTTTTCTCAGCTTGTTTCCAGGTTGTCAATCACAATTTTTATAACTTTTCCTGAAATAATTTTAATTGTTGTTTTTCTTATTATATCCTTCTTGATCCATTAATTTAGTTAATCTAATAAATTGATTTCAGATACAACTAAACATATCGCAATTAACGTTTTCTGAACAGTCGATTGTAATTATAATTGACATTGATGAGTGGTTAAGCTGCAATAAATTTTCAATAATAAATGTCATTTAATTTAATTGTTTATGATTTATGATTAGAATCGATTGTACATAAAAAATAAACATTTCATGAGACGGCTTTTCATTCAAATAGTCAACTATGGTTGGTTACTTTTGAGGCTTATTGTAACAATTATCGTCAACAGCTTTCACTTTCTTCTGTAACTCACCGTCCATTGAAAGGATGATTATTGAGTGTTACAAAAATTTAAATAATCTCTCAACAGTTAACAACAATTAACAGAACAATAATTTACACTTAGTTTAAAACTGAGACTGTTGGATGAATTAAGGCTAGCAATTTGATATTAATGCACCAAATGGAAAAGAGAAATCATTTTTAGGTGAATATTTCCAGTCTAGTTGATTCAATTTTGTTCACATTTTAATTTTAAACAGTTTAACATGATTCGAGTTGATTTAAGAACCATAAATATAAACCAAAAATTGATTGATGTGTACATTAAAAGACAACAAATTGATATCTAATGAAGCAAGGTAAACATTAACACAAATTAGAGATCATTTGAAATCAAAGTGATCTTGATTTTTAGAAATGAAACTCGGATAAATGTTACTGCTGTTGATAATGATGATGTTTATGGCTTAGGTAAAGGATTATAGAGATGAGAGTGAACACAATAATACGACTTGATACGTGTTTAGAGACACGAAAACGCGTGACTAGTTCTGTCTCGAAATCAGGTTTACTTGTTTAATGGTGATCAGTTAGCAAAGTTCTAAGTACAAAGTATTAAGTTCAAATTTTGCAGGAAAAGATGGTTTATTAAGCTGCAAAAGTGATTCTTTAATGCTGAGTAATGCACTTTGTCGTTGATTATGACGCTTTCACCGAAAATCAGTTTAAAAACAAACAACGAATGAACAAGTATGCAGACAATAAATTAAAAGCTCATCTCGAAAGTTTTCATCAAGTTTTGCAGCTCATTTGGATGAATAAACATACAAATATTCAAAAATTGATTCCTCAAAAAAACTTTGAATAAGAAGTCAGTGGCTAATAATTGATATCAGTTGAGGAATTTACAGAAGAAGATACAAAATATGAAGAACTCATCATTCAATATTATGAGCATAAACTGATCGATTCAATGGACTTGGAAAGTTACTATGATTCGAAGAAATTCAGAAAAACAGAAAAGCAAATTGAACTTCAATATGTGACTTTTATTCTTGTACTACAAGCGAAAGTGACACAAATTTTGTTCCACTTGCAATTATTTGTGAGACTAATTCAGTTGCAGATTACCTGGTAACATATTATTTGATTATTACACACAATGAAAGAGACAACAACAATATTCAGATGAAAATCGGTAATAATGATGATAAACATTAACTAATCTGTGACCTCGTCATGGTAAAGGTTTCTTGCTGTGTTTTGTTTTCATTTTCATTTCCATCTTTTCCTTGATTCAGTCAGGAAGAATGACAATATATCATTCATCATCAGATTATTAATATTATACATCACAAAACGCTACCAATATTGCATTTCAAACAGATTTAAATTAAAAGGAAAACAAATAACGGTAAAAGTAATTCATTTTGGGAAACTGTTAACGGTATCATTTACAGGGAAACTTATTGAGATTTGACTATTTGGTAATGTTAATAAAATGATGATAATCAAATATAGTGATAATACCAGGAAGATGTTCAACTGATATAAGACAAACTTTGACCTGAGGCTTAATTTTTGTATCATCTCACAATGAGTTTATAAATAATGTTGACAAAACCGGAAAAACCAACATTTTAACTGTTCCTGAGCAGCTTTATTTGCTTCATTTTCATGTTTAAAAAATATAAATATTCCTCAATTGATAATATAAATTTGTTGATCCTGTTTCAACTGTTGTAATATTTGAACATTTCCATCATTTCTCCCACATAATTAAATGTTGATAACAGCAACATTGAGGATCATGTAAATAATGATGATAATGAACGACCCTTCTTCATGTTCATCAATTTTCTTGAGCCTTCACTCTTTGAATATTAAATTTTTGTCTCTAAATTGGTTTACAAGCAGCAAATTTGGCTTTGAGGGATTACAATTTTGACCATGATAATTTAATTTACAATTTTTATGGTCATGTTACAGTTCATCAGTTTGGTTGATAATATACCCTGAGATTTGGTGGAATTGTCTGCCAATCATTAAGAAATTTTCCTGGTTCAGGGCTGAAATGAAGGAATCCTTAATAATAATAACACTAACCATAAGATTCATACCAATATCAAAGATCTAAAATTAATTTCTGTTCCATCACGCGTTGATTATAAAGGTTTTGAGGGTAAAATGATTTGTATCACTGTACAGCTATTAATTTAGTTTTTAATCTTGGTTGATTAATTTTCAATCAAAGACTTGCTCTCCGTTATTATCGATTTCACTTGACCAAGAAAATACTTTAAATATTGATTCCCTCACATTAAATAAACACAATTAAATCTTGCTAAATTAATTGAAAACTAAATGCTGATTTAATTTTCATTTGATTGAATGAAAAATATGTTTAGGTACTAAAAACTTGGATCCATTGTGTTTTTACTGCAATATTGCGCTGTCCTTTTAATTGTTGACCTCTTTGATTAATGATAAGCTTTTAATGCGCTTCATTTTCCACTGCTAACAATGAGTACTGATTACTTTTGAATTGTGTTTTATCGCACTTTCTCGAGCTTTATTCCCATCATCATCCTTTCCTCTCATTTATAACTTCAAACAGTAATGGCAAGTGAACATGTTTTGTTTTGTCTTTTCAACTTTTAGTGTCATTTAGTATCTGAAGGTTAATTGACTCTTGATTTTGTTTTGTTGTTTCTGCTGGTGTTGTTTGTAATCTTGATAACATTCTTGTTCATTACGAAAAGTGCAGCACTAATCATCATCAGATAAATTCATCCGAGTATACAATTTAGTCTCAAGTCCTTGTAATAATTACACTCTCGGTTATCGGTTGAAAGAATATCTTGTTTCGCTTAATTTGGTTTATGACTAACTTTTCCATTTTTACTTGATGTTCATTTCGTTTGAACGCAAATTTGATGGCAAAATCAAAACAATCATCATCATTGTCGTCATCGGAACTTAACTGAACAACATGTTCATGTTAAAACAATTCATCTTCATCAAAAGTACAATTAAACGGGTTGTTTGTTTTCGAGAGAAAAGTTGTCAGATTCAGTTGTTCTTACCCTGAAAACTTCTCCTCTGCAAAGCTCTTGGTAATTCCGATAGTCGTCATTATCCCCATCAAGGAATCTCATCGTATGAGGTGGTCTCGAGTTGTTGAGTATCATGGAAATGTTGGTCCAATAAGTTGGTGAAAGTTCATCATGCTGGTAGCAAGAAAAGAAAGGATTGAGATGAGAAATGGCAACACTTTGAAGCTTTTACATTCACATGAAGTAGTTTTTTGCTCATCATTGACATTTAAATCAATCGCCTATTCCTCATCAATAACTTTATTAATGATTGATTGTCAATTCTAATGTTACTGCACTGATGGGTTTACATGATTTTCATTTCAATTGTTATTTCTATTGAAGGAACATTTCTATTAATGAAGCATTTTTTTCCTGTTTGCCTTTTTTATTGTTAACAGACTTTGAATGACCAAATGATTAAATTGAATTGATAGAGATTAACTTACTATTTGAACAGCCATGTTATAAAAGGGAATTATCTCGTCGACTGGAGTCGTTCTATTCCGTTCAAGATGCGCCTTACGCAAAGCTTCATCAAACCATTCTAGGGCTTGACCATAATAACCGTTATTGAACGAATGTTTACCCAGATACAAACAATCTCGGCCTGATTTGTTTTAATTGTGGGTTGGATGAAAAGGAAGATGAAATAAGGAAGAAGAAAAGAAATGATTAAATTCAAGATTATCAAATAACATTCAATAATCATTCTGAATGTGAGTTGATTGATCATCATCGATTGTTATTATTAGCCGACTTTTACTGCCTTGCGTTTTCCTTTTCATGTTCCATCAACGCTATTATAAAATGTATATTAATAGATTACATTCTTAATCCATTTTCTTACTTGTTAATTGAACTTTTGTTGGTAGATCTAGGATTCTGCCTCGGGCGATATCACTCATGTTAAGTTTATAAGTATCAGTGAGGCGAACCAGGGCAAGGGCAGCTCCTCTCAGGTCCTCTTTAGTTGGCAAAAGCTCAGAATAATCGTTAACCAGTTGTTCAACAGCTAAAAATAAATGATTTAACCGTTAATTTAAATATGCTCTTGAAAAGTGTTGAAACCTAATCCTAACCACAACAAGTTTCATCCAATAATTTATTCATATTTTAGGTGAACCTTTTTGATCATAAATGAAAACAAAGATTTCGGTGGATATTGATTGTGACCAATTTTCATAATTGCAAATAAAAAACCTTTTTTCTATTATTTCTTATTATTCTTATATTTTCTTTTAGTATCTTTATTCTTATTCTTATCCTTCTTCATCTGCTTCATTTTGAAAATATATTTCTATTAATAATGTTTCACAATTCGCCATTCCGCTCATTTCAAAGTGTAGTTCCGTTTCAGACTCTAACACCGATTCAAGGCCTCTGCAGGTTCTGCAACAACCAGGGAATAGTACACAACATTTGTGCCTGTCAACCACCGAATAATCAAGCTCACGCTCAATGTTTGATTCGAGCAATAAACAACACAGTATCATCCCATTGCGTCTACTGTGGACAGTCTTACAGAGGAGTCTTGGTCACATTCAACCGTCCTTCTTGTCGAGAATGGATTCGACGAGATGAAAGAGCCAAATATGATCTAATTGTTGTTCCATTGATTGTACTCTTTGCCTATTACCTTGCATTCCTCGGTTACCTTAATTATATTACAAACTACGGATCTCTAAATACTTTGCTCCAGTTTATTCTCATCAATTTCGTAACCTTCATCTTAATGAGTTCAATAATATCAACCCTGTTAGCCATCATAAAGATATTTTTCGATATCGATGATTGGAGACGAAGGAACACAGATGCTATTATTGTACCAATGTTTTCCAATGGCCAATGAAACATTCATTTTATTCATAAATTGCCTCTAATCACGCTAGTCAATTTTTGATGAATGTTTACTCGAGCGAACTGATGTTGATCAACTAATTTGCTTTACAATAAAGTCTATTGAATAAGTGAGACTATCGATGTTGGCCATTATTGAATGGAAACAGTGAATCATCTCAAATCATCAACACAATCGGAAAGACTAGTTTAATGGATATCATTTTCATCCCAACAAGTATTTTTGTCCTCATCTGATTATTCAATTTGTCAATTACTGATTAGTTGATGATTCCTGATCTTTTGTTGTTATCCAACTTTCGTGACTCTTTTAATTCTGTGTCACTTTCGTTGAGGCCGCTACTAAATAGCTCATGATGACCGATTGGCAAAACAATATTCTCATCTTTACCTCAAGTTACATTTCGCGTGATGATCTGTTACATTAGTGAAAGATATAACTGCAATTAAGTTGGTGACTTTCGCTTCAAGGAAGTATATCTTATATATATTTATAATCTAAATTGTGAATCATCTTCATGAGTTGGGAAAATGTTGATGCTGATGATAGCTAAACGAAACAAAAATGATTAAAAAACTTATTGTTTACAGTGAAATTAATGAGATGAAGAATCATGTTAAATTTAAACTCTCATTGAGGTTTAATCAAAATTATAATGCTGTAGTCAAGCCTCATTAAGAGATGGTATTAGTGTTGAGGCGCTCCTAAAACAATAACATTTTAATTGATATGCTAATATAATCTAAAATCTCTCAAATCAACTACAACTAACAGATTCAACTTGAAATAAAACTAAACTTTCTAAAATATTCTGTTAACTGATGAGTTAAGAATCAAAATCAAGCTTCAACCAAATCATCTGCTCATTACTTTGTTACTTTGCCTTTCCAGCATCAATAATCATGATTATTTGTGCTGTTTATTGCTATTATACTTATTATTTACGATTCCAAGTGGTTCTAATTGTTAGATTAAACCTAAAGTATTCAACTGTTAAGTCTAATTAGTTTTTGTAGATTGAATACAGTTTTTAATAGCAAAAATTAAGTGAGAGTAAATTTTGGTTTCAAGTTTCGTTTCTGGTTTGAAACCCAAAACAAACTTCAACTCTTTGTCAAAGCGTAATATCAAAGAGTTATACTCTTTGGTGTAATATCCAATGTTTAAGGCGACGCATAAAGCTCATGATTTTATCAGACTGAATCTTAAAGATGCTAAAACCAACTAACCAGAAGTTAGTAAACAATTTGCTCTCAAAAAGTGGCAACACTCAAGACTTTGCTATTATTTAGTAATGACTGAAAACTGAAAAAAGGATGTCAATCAAAGATTGCTTTTGAATTTTTGATTAACTCAACTTCAATCAACCATTAATTTCATATAATAATTATAATGTAACCAAATGGCAAGAAATTTCGGATTCATTGAATAGTCAAGTTGTTCATACAATTGTTGAACTGGTAACAAAAAATACTCAGGTTAACCTGTTGAAACAAATTTTTTGTTCAAGAATCAGTCAACAATCAATTATTGATTCATCCAAATTTGACTATCAATTGGCATTAACAAGTCAAAATCAACTCTGATTAAGATGTGCAAATAATTGATTTGTAAAGCTTTCAGACAACATTATAATATTAAAATAACTGCCATTAAAGAAGCATTTAAAGGTTATCTTTTCGAACAACTCTCGATTAAAAACAATGGTACGAATGTGTAAATAACGAAACCAATAGTCTTGTTGATCTTAGTGATTAATGCTGTTTATAAAAATCAGAAAAACTCTAATTTTTCGAATCGGAGTTTCTATTGAAAATGTTGTTTCATAGTTGTTTGTATGATAAAATAACAAAATTCTGGTTAGAAGCACATTTCTTATTTACTGTATTTGCTTCATTCAATTCCTAGGTTTTACCTTTTAATTATTTGATCAGACTTGTTGCGATTCAATTGGAATGGTTGAAATGATCAAATGCATGTACTTACATTGCCATTCATTGGTTTTCATCGCTGTTTTCAGGCTTTCCCAATTAACTGTTAACCTTTTAACCAATTGAAAAGCTTGTATTGGATTACCGATTATCTCTTCAGTTGAATCTTTCCCTCGAAGCTCAGGTAAACCAGCAGTTCGAGAAAATTCATCCAGATAACTTGATATTAAACAGAAAATATAATTAACATTAAAAAAATTGCAAAATTAACCGGTTATTTGATTTGAAAAGTGATAAAATAATGGTTGCTGTATTACTTTGATAACAGCTTGACATTATTATGGATCTCGATATAAGTCAATTAATACCGAGAAAAGTGTTTTCATGATCAAACAGTCATTGCGTTTCAATTTCCCAGCAATTCATTCACTTATTGTTCAATAATGTTTATATTCCCTGCTAGACACACAAGTTGACACTGAAACCATTACAATCATTCAAATTATTTATATTATTTGAAACTAAGAGAAAGACTAAAACCCATTTCTTTAAACTGTGACAGTTACGTAAAAAGATTTTAATTTTACTGACAAATTGTGATTGAATTTTGAAATTTGATTTTGAAATGAGACACAAATTTAATCGTTTTCGTACAATCAGAGTTAGGCACTTACGTTCGAACTGTATTGAGCTTAGCTTGAGCTTGAACGACATAATCATTGAGAGATGAGATTAAATGACGCTCAAGATACATCAAACTTCTGAGATGGGCAGTTGATGAGAAGATATCACAATTAACTGGACTAAAATGACTTGATATTGCTATAGCTAATAAACTGAAATAAAATCGCCAAATCATCTTGACAGAGACACTAAATAACACAATATACACTTGTAAATAACAGTAGTGGTAAGCTTTAGAGTTGAATTGTAACTAAATGTTGAAGCACCGAGTCACAAGCACTATTAATCTTTAAATTTCACTAATTTATCCACATGTACAGATGATTAAACTTGGCTTTATTGATATTCTGTGTATTGACAGTAGCGTTGTTGGTATCACAGTTGCGATATTAAGTAGGAACTAATCAATTTGTTAAAACATATCCACATGGAAAGGACCAGTTGATCAAGTTTATTATTTTAGTTTTTGGTCTTCTTCTTGAATATGTTACACTTAAAGTTTGCACTATCAAGTCCGATACCTAAATGAGATCTGAACACCAAATGAGATTAACAACTCAGAACTTGATGCTAGTGATACAACGTTCTCCACTCTCTTTTCTTACTTTGCTTCTCCCTTTCTTCTGATTATCTTCATCTTCTCTCTTCATTCTTAATTCATTTTTCAATGACTCCCTTATTCTCACCCGTTAGTTCAACTTGTTTTCACCTTTAGGGGAAGAATCAAAAGTAGGTTACCGATAATCATGAGGCAAGGAATATCAAATTTGATGAAGAGTAACATCCATTTACATTTACAGGAATTAACTCTTCTCTCTCTCTCTCTCTTCTCTCCCCTTTAAATCAAATCATCATCTTGATCCTAATAATCTAGTTATAGTTGAGCAAATCTTTTCATTTCCATTCTGTGGTTAAACTACTTGCTTTATGCATCTTGTGTTTCGCTTTTACTGTCAATCGGACGAGAAATTTTTATTCCCTGATTCAACTGGAAAATCATAACAATCATGAAAAAGAGACATCATTAAGGGTTGGTAGTTGGGGATCAATTTATTGGCATAGTTTTTAATCAGCTCAATCAGTTTAATGTTAATTTTAAAATTTTAGTTTAATCCTCTTTTTATAACCAATATCTAGACGCGTGAATCCAAAGTTGAACATAGTTTTTATGAAACATTGCTGGTTCCAGGGAAAGTAACACCGATAAAGGGAACAATCCGATTATTTTGGTTGTATTTAATTTATTGTATTCTTGATTGAAAAGGTTCGAAGACAAATTTCAAATAGAATACAAACTAAATGATTTGACTTGACAATATTTGCTTTACAATCATTTGCACTATTTATAAAGACTTCCAATTTAAATAAAATTCTGAGTCACATGTTTTTAAGATAGATGATTATTTAGGATCTGGAGTGTGTTCAGATTGAATTCCAACATTGAGCCAGAAAGCGAAGAAACCACTCATTACCATAGCCGGAATAATTATTTTGGCCGAAACAGCAGGATCGTTCCAATCTTTGAAAAACTCTATTATTCTCTTACCGTCAACTTGCCTTCTAGGGTGACTGGTATGGATCGGCCTGAAGTAGAGGCATTTCCTAGCAATCATAAGCTTGGATAACATCTTGAGCTGCAAATAGAAGATTAAACAACATAAAATATAAATTAGCGCAAGTGATTTAGTAAATAAAATAAGAATTAAATTCTGATTTAAATTACCTGAGAGGTTATAAACAAAAGGTTACAATGAATGGATCAGATACAAGATCCGGATCATTTAAAAGTTGATATGTTGTTTGAGCGCTCAAATTAAAATCAATAACAAGCTAAGTGTACAAGTTTTCCTATTTTCCTAGTTTTCCTTCCTAAAAAAATATTGAGTTACTGACGAAAGCAACTAATCAAGATCGTGGATTCATAATTGGTCAGTGTGTTTATTGCAACTTCCCCTTATAATAATCTTGTATATATAATAACCAATAAATCAAATTTAATATATGTAATGCTCTATTTAGAAATGTTTCTTTGTAAACCGGTTTTGTTGAAATGACATCAATGTAAACGTATTACCCTGGAAATTTATTTCCTCCAGTTCATTCAAAGACTGCTATTCTGAGATAAAACTTAATTTGTTAAGAATTAAACTGTGCTTGGACAACACGTTTTGACATACGGTGCTAAACAAAAAAAACAATGGCTAATCAAGTGAAAAAAGTTACTGCCCGAGCTCCAGTTAATATTGCTGTAATCAAATACTGTAAGATATCTTTTTTTGTTAATTTTTTTATGGATCGTGTTAATAATTATGCTTCTTTTCGTTTCAGGGGGCAAAAATGATGAAAAATTGATCACTCCTATCAACAATTCGATTTCGGCCACCCTTTCCATTGACGATCTTTGTGCAACAACAACCATTTCAATTTCCCCAATGTACCAGGCAGATCAGTTCTGGCTCAATGGGGAAGAACAGACAATAAGTGAAAATAAGAGGTTGTCTCATTGCTTGCAAAAATGTAGGTTAAGTACCATCAACTGATTTGCACATTCATTGGATTGATGACTTATAAGCTTTTTCACCAATGTCTATTTTCTAGTCAGAGCCTTGAAAAGTGAGATTAAAGACCACTTGAAGATTGAATCGCATAATAATTTTCCTACAGCCGCTGGTTTAGCAAGTTCAGCTGCTGGGTATGCTTGCTTGATATCTGCTTTGGGATCTTTATTTGGAATCAGTGACAGTAAACAGCTATCAATATTGGCTCGTCAAGGATCTGGAAGTGCCTGTAGATCAGTTTATGGTGGTTTTGTCGAATGGTTTGCTGGGAATGACTCGGAAACATCATTTGCTGCTCAGATAGTCGATGAAAATCACTGGCCATCTTTGCGGGTCATCATTTTGATTGTCAATGACAAGGAAAAAGATGTCCCTAGCACCAGTGCAATGAAAAGATCAGTTGAAACAAGTGAATTAATTCGTCATAGAGCTGAAAATGTTGTCCCAGAACGATGTAAGAAAATGAGAGAAGCAATTAAGACAAAGGATTTCGAAAAATTCGCTGAATTAACTATGAAAGATAGCAATCAATTTCATGCTATAGCTCAAGATACTTATCCCCCAGTTCGATACATGAATGATGTCTCTTGGTCAATTGTATCTCTCATTCATGGTTATAATGATTTTGTTGGCTCAACTAAAGTTGCTTATACTTTTGATGCTGGACCTAATGCAGTTCTTTTTATGGAGGAAGATCAAGTTGGAAAGTTTATGATAGCAGTTAATCATTTTTTTCCTATTAACCAACTAGATTGTTTATTTAGAGGCCAACCGATTCCTAAGGAAACGATTAACCAAGGAATGATTGACTATTTGTCTAAAAAGATAAATATTAAGGAAGACAGCCTGAAAGGCATAATTTATACAAAAATAGGATGTGGGCCTAAAATTGCAGCTCAAGAGTCGAATTAATTCATAAATTTTCCAGCGGTGTGGTGTTTTTATTCAAATTAGACAAACCATATACAACATTATTACGTTTACTTTTTGAATAATTATTAATAAGTGCCATAATTACGTCAAACTTCTTCAAATGAAATTTCAATTATTTTACTGGCCATTAATATGAGCAATTAAATTATAGCTTCATCAATTTAATAGTGTTAAAGATTTATTTGACTTTAAAACCTTCTGTCTTGAAAATTATATCTTTATTTTGTTGATTTTAAATTTTTCATAAATAATTTTTTCTCGCTCATGTACTTTGATTATCAACTTAATTCTTAATAAACTGTTTTAATGTTGATCAAAAAACCTTTTCACTTTATTTAGTAGCTATAAAGCAAATTGAGGATAAATTCCCAATCATAACATCAACTTTCGCTATTCAACACAATTTATAAAATTAGCGCCTATTTCCTTGTGCTCTTAAAAGCCTTAAAAGACTTGTTTACATTCTACTGTTCACCAGAAAAAGTGTAACTCAGTCAATTTTGTGCGCATTTTATTCGTTTATTATTATTTACTAATCAACATGAATAGTACATTGGAGAACGCTAATCCGTTAATTTATGAACGAATTGACCGTAGGCAATTCACTGGAACTGAATTGGATGATGAGATAGATGATGATTTTGATCCAAGAGAGGTTTATGATCACATAAGGAACATCAAAGATCCTGAACATCCTCTTACATTGGAAGAGCTTAATGTTGTCTCTGAATCAAATGTTCATGTTGATGAGGAAAACAACTTGATTGAAGTTCATTTTACACCAACAATTGATCGATGTTCCATGGCCACTCTAATTGGACTCTCTATCAAGGTTAAGCTGATGCGATGTCTCCCACCAAGATTCAAAATCGATGTTAAGATCAGCAAAGGAAGCCATTCAACTGAGGATGCAATTAATAAACAGTTGAATGATAAAGAAAGGGTTGCTGCTGCTCTGGAGAATCCAAGTTTGTTGCAAGTAATCAACATGTGCCTCAAAGATTCAATCTAATTTGCAAGTTATCTGAATGCTGTCGTTTTAATAAAGACGAGTCGCTGGATCCAACTGTGCTATTGTACCAATTGAGATCAAGATTCTTCATCGTGTTTGGAATAAAAATCAAAATATCAAAATCTATCTTTTTTTGTATTTTATGTTACCGAATGTTTGTTTGACACAAAAAAGTCGCTTCGAAATACATTACGTTGTTAGATTTTAAAATGTAATTCAATAAAAATGATACAATTTTTTTGTCTATTCTTGCTCTCGTTTCATAAATGAATAAGAATACAGAAAATTTATTAGACTCAGAATTTATTAAGACAATCTAACAATGATTGTGATTTTTTTACAATCAAAGAAAATGTAATTACAGTAATCATAGGTGTTGATGGCAGTAAACTAATGGTGGTCGTGGCCATGGCCTTCACCTGGAGGAGGATGATGAACACCTCCAGTTATAAACATCATGGTAAAAGCCCAAATAGCGATTGCAGGCATCATGAACTTCGTAGGCATATCTGGTGTCATTCTTTTTGATAAATAATCTTTGAATCGCTCAAAAGGCCCTTCTTGAGCGTTAAATCTCGCTCTGCTTGCGTGGATGTATCTCAAGTGACCAGGAGTTAAATAAGTTTTGAACAGTGAACATCTCGATAGCATGATCATACGATAATTAATCAACAATGGCAAAATCACAATTATGAATTTTAATTGAAACCCTTGATAAACTTGAAGGTTAGAAATTGTTGACAAAATGAGAAGATACAAGTATCGGATCTCGGGATTGGATAGAGTAAGATAAAGCGCTATGTATGAAGTTATAATAATGAAAAAACCTTTTTTTATGCAACCATTTACTGTATTCAAGAACTGAGCAATTTAATTCAAATCTAGTAATGAGAAGGGAAGAAATATAATCAATAATTGATTGAAGCAAGCAATAACTTAATTAGCTTTATGTTGCTACGAAATACATGCAATATCCAAGGCTAAGGTGTCGTATGTCGTTTATGCTTGGGTTATTGGATTTCCAAAAATCAATGATATTCATTTGGATTTTAGTGAGATTAAAGTGTTTATTGAATAAAATAAATATCAATTTAAACATAAAATTTCGTAGAATCAACTGTTCTTATTATTTTTTCTTTGAGGATGCTTACAAGTGCCTGGAAGTCGACATATTTTACAAGAAAAACAATGAAACCAAGTATTTTTAACACACTTTTTACATATATTGCAATGTTTTGGTGGTCGACCATCTTTGGATGTACAGGCATCGCATTCTTCACAGTGGCTATTATTTTCTGAAACATACCTTTTACAAATTTCGCAATATTTGTAACCTTCCTCTGTAGGTAAAGTAAATACGTAAGGCTGTATATTAGTGAATATTCTTACAATTGATCCTAATGATGAACGACATCGACAATCTTTCAAAGCTCTGTGGTTAGTATAATGAACTTTATAATCTGTTAGTTTTAAATTTTTCATATACTGGGCAACTTTAGGTTCATTGAAGTAAGGAAGAAACAACATTACTGCAAATTGATAGCTATCACGATTCAATTTAACAGCAGTTGACCCCGTTGTTCCAGGATGGCCATGTAACTCTAAATATCTGTCATGAATTTGATCTAATGATCGTCCAAGTGCTTTGAGTAAGCCTCCGAAAGGTGGATCAATTACAACACAAGCTCGTCCTGGTTCACATTCTCGCAGAAACCTATCCAATTTAGATTGTCCCTCATTACCTTCGAAGAAAAATCCATTGAACATATTAAACATAATGAAATGTTTTCGTAAATAAAACTGGCAATATCTTGGGTCGATGTCCAAGAGAACACTCTCCATATTCCAACTTCTTTTATTACTTTGTACCTGGTCCAGTAACAGAAAATTTATATGAATTAATGGAGAAGATATAAATAATAACATGAAAACAAACCTGCTCATGGATCGATGGACAACCGATACAGATAATTCTGTTTAGTTCCAATTTTTGGAAGGTCTGTATAATAAAATTAACAGTGATATTGTCAAAGAAATATTGAGCTTCTTTTTTTCTTTTAGTAGCAGCTTGAAGTAACAATGTTGGTCTTCTGATTAGCTTAAGAGGAATCTTATCGATAACATCATGTCTTTGGTGTTTATGATAATCTCGGTACAGGAATAATTCTTCACATCTACGACAGTAAGCTCTTTCTTCCTTGCGTGCTTGAAAAACTTTAACTAATTTTTTTCGTATCTTTTTCCTTTGAACCACAAATTTTGAAGTATCAAGAGGATTTTTCAACAGCGGGCATTTATTATCACGGTATGCCGAACAAGCAAAGAACTTTTTGGTGCTATTACCAACTTTTTTAGACAACAATAAAGTAGGGCCTGAAAGAAAGATATTTCGATGCTACATTATTACGTGGAATAAATAAATTTTGTTCAAATAAGAATAGAATAAAAAAAGATACCGACCATGTTTACAATTGGGTTTTTTAACACATTCATCAAATATAACATCCAACCCCATAGATTTATTGGCAAACTTTTGAAATCTGTGAAAGTAACAGCCGATCAGTTAAAATAAACTATAAGTTTCATCACAAAGTAACATGCATTAGAAAATTCTACTTACGTAGGTGATTCCATAATTGTTGTTAAGCTCCGTTCAAGAAACAATTCAAGAATTGTAGAATGTTCAAATAATCATAATTTCAAATTTATGTGACTGGATCAACAGATCAAAATCCTTAAATTGATACTACAGATTGGACTGAGCAAATTTTCACCAGAATAATTTATTACACAACGAATAATTGGAGAGAAATGAGAGAAACTTTCGATGAACAATTAATTTCGAAAGTGATTAAAGATTCCAAACAATCGATCACATAAGCCATGAACAGAAGAAATCAGATGTTGAAAGCATGTAGAAACAAACAAGACTTGGATACATCTAGAAACTCTTTTTTTACCATCAAATAAAGTAATATAACTGTGGCAACAGGTCAATGGGTTAACAACCTAATGTAATAACTCTACGAAAGGATAAAAAATAATCAATTCTCATAAAATAATATGATTAATTAAGGTAATTGAAGTAGATCGATTTAAAAAAACCCTGCAAGTCAATAATATCCAGACAGCACTCTAGATGTCTCTGGGATTAAGCACGTTGTTTTCATTTGTAACCGGAGGCCCCCTAGAGTTGATAACATTAAACTCGGTAAGTCAAATTTTTGTTTACCTAATTTAGCTGTTTAATTGTGTTCTTAATTTGTCTACTGAATCAATTAGCAATGAGTTACTGGCGTGAAGTTGGTTTGACTTATCTTAAATTCAGTAACATCGCTGCTGCTACTGTTAGAAAATCTGTAAAAGCAGATAAACGAGGTGATTTTGCCTCAAGAGCTCAAAGCTTTATTAAAAATATTACTAAAAAATCTTAAAATGTAGAATATTACATCAATTAATGTTTCTTACTCTCCTCAACATTTATTATTTAGTGTTTTTTAGTTTTGCCCAACCTTAAAACCATCCATTTAAAATGAGTGTTAAAGTCAACAATTTGCTCTTCCAATTTGTGACTGGATCAATAGGAAATGGATTAATCTGTATAGCTGATGAATCAACCAAGCGAATTGGATTAGAGTTGTTCAAAAACTTTATATCGAATTCTCCAAACTTAGGAGGACATCTTTTGCTTCTAGACAACCCTGTTAATTGTTTCAATCTAGATCCATCTACCAAAATAAAGATCCATCAATGCCTTGGGACCTCTATTGATTATCCTGATGAATTGGAAATGATTCAATCCATTCCATCTGGTCGAGAATTATTTATAGACACACTTACACCCTTTTTTATCCTCCATTCAGATCAATTTCCTGGGATGATTCTCGAGTTGAAAAAAAAGTTTTCTCGAATCGTTGCATTAGTTTCCCTGGAATCTCTCTCTTTTAATGGTCTGCCCATAATCAAAGATTTAGCTGACTGTTTTATCAACGTAATGCCAAACAATACTAATTTTCAAGCAATAGTGAACTACAAGAAACCAAGCAGTCGCTTAGGATATAATCTAATCAGAGTCAAGGAAACTTTCTCTATCGTAAATGGAAAATTTTCTTATATTAAAAATTGCGAATCACGAAAAAAAGAATCCGAGGAACAAACAATTGAAGATTTGCCTTTCAATTTGAGATCAGCCGATGAAGATAATCTTGTGCAACGGACAAATAACTCACTCAACATGTAAGATAACAATTATATTTACAATACAAAACTATCCTAGCCGTAACTCAATAATTTTCTCCTCTTTTTCCACAGAAAATCCAACGAAGGAGGTAAAGTTTATTACGAGCCTGGTAAAGAAGATGATGTCGACGAGGAAGACCCAGATGAAGATCTTTTAATTTAATTTACCAAATTAACTCTTTTTGTTCACCTACTATTAACCCTTTCCTTCTTATTTTTTCTGTTGGGGAGCAGAGAATAAAATTAAAGATTAAAACATATTGAGTGATAATAAACCTAAATTCATTGGCGCGGATTTCTATTGCAAAGTATCGAGTAAATTAATATGAAAAAATCATAATTTGGCGTACCTAGAAACTCCGAGAATAATCAATAAAAGACTAAGCGAAACCCAAATTAAGAAGTATTGATAATACAGTCAATCAGTCTGCAGTTATTTTGACAAAAAACCAAAGAGTAAAGAGAACCATCTATGAGATTAAATTAAAAAATTAATCTTTACTTCGGTGTATTGGTCAACGAGCGCCCTTAGTATAATTTCGAAAAGGACTTGATTGCGATAGTAGCGAATTAATCAAATAATTTCTCTTTTCATTAGTTTTATAGCAATAAATAGACAACTTTTTTAAAAACTAAACTTATTCTGAATTCATTCTGAAAATGCATTTTTTTGCTGGACATAGAAGTTTATAGCACCTGGTTTGATAAATGGGGTCAGTCAAGTACAATAAAGTTAAGTTTGATTGATCAAGGGTAGCAACTAATCATGTAAATCGTCCACCAAGCATTGGGTGGTTAGGAACCCTCTGTTGGTGATATAATGAACAAAAATATTGAACAATGCAAAAAGAATAACAGAGTTTCCATTGGAAGCTAAGAAAAGTAGTTAAGGTTAATAGAGATAGGAGTTTAACCCAACCTACTAAGAATGCTTCGCAAGGTCTCTGCTCTTAACTCAATGTCATTTGGTTCGAATATCAAGTATTTGTTATGATTCCACTGAAAATCAGTAAGGTTATCATCATCAATTGATTCTTTAAGGTTTCATCCAAGTCGAATTGTTTTCTCATCCATAAATAATACAAAAATATAGACACGGAAACAAAACTAACCAGCGAGGAAACAATTTTTTGAAACAATTTAAAATTTCATTACATTACTCTTATGTTATAACTAAATTCAACAATTGTTGCAATTTATTTTGTTTGATGGTTGTGGTTATCCCTAGTTTCACTTTCATTATAATCAACTTTATTTCTTTACAAAGATAATCATTTGTTTACATTTTTCTTTCCATTGACCGTCCACCAGGGAGGCAAAGAAACCTTTCTTACCTCTGTTACCGTTAACAATTATCACTTTACTGCTCTATTTAAATCTCTAGTTAACCTAAATTGAGTAAATTTATTAAACAATACATCGTAATCAACAAAAACAATCAAGTCATTTATAAATAGTAAAATCGACGGAAAATAAAATTTACATATTGTCGCATTTTAAAATCTTCTGTGTCCTAAACCTTTACCTTTGTCCCCATAATATTGTGGTTTAAAATTACAAAGGGTTACTTCTTTGAGTGAATGCTATTGTGATCCAGCAATACAGTTGTGAGCATTTTGCCAATTAACTTTACTTGGACGCTCTGTGTATAATTGTGTCTCCAAATCGGTCCTTGACCGTTAAAAATCCACCAAAATTTCGGACCCACGAGATTTCTCCAAGTTAACCTTCTCCTCTTTTCGTCAGAGTTTCTCCTCCACCACAAATTTTCTCAAGAGGAGATTTTCGTCTGGTGATCTTCAGGGTGAAGGTGATGAACAAGAAGATACCTCAGGATTACCTGGAAGACCGAACGTAATTCCATCAACAACAAGTCAACAATCATTACAATCTAAACAATATCAACAGCCCCAACCTCAGCAGCAGCAGCAGCAGCAGCAAATTCAACAACAACCTTCAACTCAACAATCATCATCATCATCTGGAGGATCAAATAATAGTGGAAGAGTGGTTGGACCTCGGCCAGGAGTTACTAATCAACCTCAGCAATCTAGTGATTTATCATTAAATTTCGGGATGAAGAGCTCTACTACCTCAGCTCCAACCTCACCAGCCAAAAATGTTTCCTCATTTCTGTCAAGGGCTACTTCATTAACAAGCTCGGTTACCTCTAATGTTGCTGGAGTTGCTGGTCAAATAAGCTCACGGATAAAGGATCCAAGTAAACAGAAGATTCTTTTAGTGATTGATGACCATCAAACCGATTGGTAAGTCAACACTTTCCACTAACCAAAAAAGAAACGATGAGGATACCGATGTTGACTTTGATTTTAGTTGATGAAGGAAGAAAAGAAATTAAGCTATCCAGGAAACAGGAGAAACTGTCAGAATCAATCTCCATAAGAATATTAATGATAATGAAAGGGGACAATGAATCAGGAAATAATAGCAATGATTATTATTCTAATAGGTTAGACTCTTAACTTCAATTAAATAATTTCTGCCTTTTCTTTCCATCTCTCTCTAGGTCAAAATATTTCCGAGGTAAACGACTTTCTGGTGAGTTTGACATTCGAGTTGAACAGGTAAGCTTTACTTGAATCTATCCAAACTCAAATTTGAACATCGAAATTGCTAACAAATTATATGTGAATTGCTATTTACCGATTGACTTGTAGATGAAAGGGAAACCATTAAGTTGCATGGAAGTTTTATTAATTGTTTCTTTCTCTTATATTTTCATCATTACAGGCTGATTTTCGTGAGCTCAGTGTTACAACCAATTCTGAGCATGGTGCTCTGTGTAGTATAATAACTCCTGAAAGGGGTGGAAATCGTTCAGCAAAGTAATTATCAAACTTAACAATGATAAATGCAATCAGTTTAATCGATCATCTGATTTCATTTCCTTCTCTCTTTCATCGATTTTAGAACTTTTCGTCCGGATTTTCTTTTAGTTCGCCAACACGTCAAAGATGTAGCAACCGATTTCAACGAAATACTTCTTGGACTCAAATACGGCGGAGTACCAAGTGTTAATTCACTCCACAGTATTTACAATTTCATTGATAGACCGTGGGTGGTGAGTGTTTATTATTGTATTATCATGATGAGATAAATAAGCATCATGATAGATGAGCATCATAAACAGAAGTAACACCGACTGACTATAATGAAAAGAAAGTAAATCAATTTACTCGGTGTAAATAATACTTTATATCTCAAGGGGTTTACATTGATCAACAAAAGAAGCAACTAAAAAGGGAAAATGAATGAAGGATTATTTGAAAATTTTTGTACTTATTTTGTATTATTTTACAAGATTCAATTACATTAGACGATAATGATGCAGCTTCTTATCCTCCATATTGATTGCTAGACTGGATTTCAACTAACCGCTATTTGAATAACATTTGAAAGACTTCTATTGAAAAGACAACCAAAAACGATAACTTGGTTTTGCTGTTTCGTCTCCTTTCATTGATCCATTCTGTTAAATGGAGGAAAGGCTGAAATACAATGAAAGATGATTAAATGATTCATCACTTTAAGACCTTATCCTGAACAAAACTAGGCCTGAGCTAAGCTTGAAATGAAAAAATGCCACAGAAAATATATTCAAAATTATCAAGTAAATGTAAAGGTTTGAAATTCACAGCCCAAAGCCAAGTGTCAACATTTTGGATGCAATCATTTCGTCTCAATAATTTAGTAGATAATGACTATTAATCATCAATAAGTAATTACTTTGATTGTTCCAAACGAAACCTAATACTTTAATTACAAGATTTCTATTGAAACCATCTTTTAACATTGAATCTAAAATCGTGAAACCATTAAACACTATTTTTAGCAACCTCTGAAGCTGCATACTTGTGGACTTGTAATACCAAGTATTTTATTTATTAATGGTTTCTTTTTCCTCTTTTATCTTGATTTCATGCATTCCATTATCCATCATTTCAATCAACATCATCATCACCTAATAATGCTCAATAATGAACTAATAATGAATCAGTTTTCACAACTCATTGGAATTCAAAGAAGATTAGGTCGAGAAAATTTCCCTCTCATAGAGCAAACATATTATCCCAGTTACCGAGAATTGGTAAGTTGATTGTTTATTTGCTTACAATTTATTTCATTAATTGATTATTACGTGATTGGCATTGGTATATTTTGATCAACTCAACTATTAAAAAAGGTCTGTGCATTTAGAACACAATTTAATACAAAATTTTGCACAAACTGTAAATGACAACCTTCTGGTTGATTTGAACCATTTGAAAGCAACTATAACATAAACATTAACTTTCAATGTAATGAGCGCATTTTGGTATAATTTTCAAATTTTTATTAACTTTATTTCGATCTGTTTTTGCTGAAATATTCTTAAAAAGTTTATTATTGATTTCAAACAACACATTTTATAATTTAATCATTTGAATGAACTCAGATGGAAATTTTATCTACATGCAAAATTGATTCAATTGTTGAATAGAAGGTAAACTTGAATATTGACACTATTTTTCAAATTTAATTATGACTTTTGAGTGATAAACTCAAATCATCATGAAAATATATAAAAATTGATGGAATATTGAATTTAATATTAATTGTAAGCACTTCGGTTATCGATCAAAATTGAAAAATCAACCAACTACTCAATCTCGACGAATTGTCTTTCGATTCCATCTTTCATTTGCCATCATTTTTACTATCAGTAAGTTATTCAGAATAACTTATGTTGCAAATTGAGTTAACAAAAAATGAAGTTAACTTGGAAGTTTGACTTCAAATCCTTTATTTTCAACGATTTATTAGCTTTACCAGTTTCAAATCAAGACAACGAAACAATCAAATCACTGGTTGAATTAGAAAAACTTTCATATTTATGTTTAATCACTCAATATGGACAAACCCAACAAATTGATAAACCCGTCTCAATCAAACTAAAATTTGCTCATTTTATGGTTCGAGTCTTGAACTTGACTTTCATTCTTCGTTTGATATGTTTTCTAACGATGACCGATAAAACTATGCAAACGATTGTTGCCGATCCTGTGATTAACACTCCTAATCGTGAAATCCTGATTGTGTTGCAACTATTCATTGTAATTGTGATGTTGGTTGTCCGTGAATATATATTGTATCTCGAAAATAATCGTAAATTTTTAATACTTCGTAAACTGTATCACATTCGCAAAAATGGTTTCTCATCTGATTACCTCAACCTAACTGAACGTCAGTTCATGTTTTTCAAGCGAAACTTACATTTCATTCTAATTAACTCATTAAGATTCTCTAAATTAACCATTGTTCTGTTGCCCTTTTTTGGCACTGGAGTTAGACTTAACAATCCTGATTCACTTGCAACCAATTCATTGATCATATCAGCCTGTTTCTGGTCAATCACAGAAGGGTTAACATTCATCTTCTTATATTCAGGAGGCATCCTTACAGTCACATATATTTTCATCTTAATGTTGTTATACTTTTGCCAATTGAGAAGTCTCGTTGAATCCACTCAAAATAAAATTAAATGTTTAACTGATCAAAACAACCAACTGGGAGTTGCTATAACTCTAAAGTCTCTTAATTATCAGAGTACATCATTTTTGAACCAATTTGACCAGTTAAATAGCGACTTTAAATATCTTTGGCTCAACAATGTTATAGTCTTTTCATTCTTGGCAGATTCCTTCATTTTTTTCGGTGCGATTGTTCACATTAATTCAGACTATTTATCTGATGTGCTCACCTATGTAGGATTTTTTGTCCTCTTCATGTGTGCTGTTGGAGGCTATGCTGGTGGAGTATTTCATCAGAAGGTAAACCTGATACTATTGAACTTTAATTTCAGATGAAAATTTCATTTCGCTTTTTCATTCTAGTTGATGTACCTTCACATTCATTATGTTAGACTTTTAACCTTTTCATCAGCACATATTCAAGACAGTTTCAAGGTAAGAATTTCAGTATTCACGATCAACTAATTAATCTATATTGATGATAATTTCATAGGCATTGGAAATAGTTGATCGCATAATGCATCCTGATACTGGTGCATCGGTCGGGGATTTCACAGTCCTTAAGCGTGAGTTTATTGTCTATGTAAGTAACTGCCTGTGATGAGAGTCTTTAATCGCAAGATCAAACAGCTAAATAATTTTCACTCAATTCAATTCATTTTCATTCCACGCACAAATTTCAAGTTAACAACAACAGTTGATATTTTTGTCTGCTTTCGAACTCAAGTTTTTCATTCCGAACTTTACTAGTTGTCGATATACCTTTTCCCAATTCAATGGTAAAATGATTAACACTGATTGTTCTTCTTTTTAAGTATATTCTGGAAAATGCAAGTACTATTATGCTATTATCATGCGATGTTAGGTCGGCTATTTCAATATAAACTCTGAAGTCTATCGATTTCTTGGCCTTTTAATCATCCACTTGAACTATTTAAGCACCTTCGTAATTTGGCTGGTGAATATAATTTTGGTTAAACGATAAATTCTCATTTGCATCTGTAAGCTATCATTTGATGGACACAAATAAGCCTTTGAAAGTCAAACCTGCATTATTTGACATGATGAGTGAATATTTTGCAGTCTTAACAATCCATCATTCAAGATAGATTCCCAATCAATTGAATATCTTATGCTCTGAATTGCTGTCAATTCTTCAACTATCAACTTTATTGATTATAACCAGACTGTGATCAACTCGATTGTAAATTGCTTTGCTGAGTACATTTTGTGTCTAACTTTGTGAATAAAAGATGAGATTGAATATAAAGCTTTAAAATTGTTGGAAAAATTGAATCAACACTTGAGAAAAAAATAGTTTATTTCATGCAATCAAATCGATAAAATATTAATTAATGACAACTTACATGAGAAAAAAGTAAAAATCAATAAACGAATAGTTGAAACACTGAATAGCAAACAAAAATGGTTAACCAACACGAGTTACAAGGACTTGGGCTATGTAGTTCTTGAGGTTCCGTTAGCATCAAATCTTTTTGCTGCACCTGTAAGACGTATCTTATACGAGCTCTTTGCTTTACTCAGACTAATTAAAAAGCATAATTTGAATGTAATTTAAATTTACGATGTTTTAATTATTCACATTTTGAGTGGAAATGAAAACAAATCATTAATAAGTAATCGATAAAGAGTTTCATGCAGCCTCCCAGAATTTCACTTATTTATCAACTGATTTCTCAACAGGTTTTATATTAATAACAATAATTTTGTTCAAATAAAAGTTGATTGTACATTAAACCCTTAAACTGTCAGCCATTAATCTACATTTCAATTTTATTGGTTACAAGTAATTTAATATTGAATCAACAAGATCAACAAGATGAACCTAAAAGTAAATAACATCCATTTGAAGCTTACATTTTCCTGGTTAACCTTTTGAGACTTGGCATTTGAGATGCTAAAGTTTCTTATGTTTTTCAGGTTCTATCGTTTTAGATGATGAACTATCTTAAAGGTTAAATCACTTGACAACTAAGTCGATTTACCATTATGGAACATCAAATTATCCAAAATCCATTTAATATCATGGCTAACGATCGACTGACCGGTTGATCATTTAGTCTGGTTTATATCAGAAATTGTATTTGGTTCGTGTTTTTATGTTTTATTATGAAAAAATAATGATTATTTATTCATTATAATATAAATTTTTCTTAATTGCATTACATTTCTGTCAATTGGAAAGTCTAAATTCAATTAAATAGATAAATGAGTTAAACGTGAAACGTCATCGGTTGATTCAATTTGTGGATGTAAATGAAAATTCAGTTTTGAAAATGAACGTCTCTTTCAATTGATTCATTAAGTGATTTGATAACAACAAAAGTTGATTTTTTGAATTAATTTGACTAATTAAATGACAATTTTAGATGCTATTTTCATTACAACATGATTCCGCTTTTTTTGCTCAAAAATTATTTCAAAAAGTTTTTCATTTTCGCGACAATTTTTCAAAGACTAATCATTTTACATCGTTTTTCATGTTTGGTTGTTTAGGTTTCAATTTAATGTACAATAAAGTTTCAATTTATTTCATTGAATGTCACCAGCTTTGTTGTTAAACAATAAAATAGCTTTTGCCTTTGCTGTTAAATTGCAAAGATTTATTGACTGATTTAGTCAAATAATCAGCTAAAATTAATGAATTGTTCTGCAATTATGGTTGGTCATTCAATTGTTCTAGGTTTAGTTAACATTATTGTGAGCAATTCAACCATCCAACATTGAAAAACTCTTTCGATGCTGATACATTGTTCCCCATCCATAGAAGTGCAAATATTACAGAGATGGAGTAAAAGTAAATTGATTCAATTATGATGGACTTGGTAAACATTCAATAGTGCTGTTAGTCAAACTAAAATAAAATGACAATCAATAGGAAAAGCCATTTGAATGTTATTACACACAAACATTGAACTTGTTGCTTCTCATTGAATGAAATTATTTTAATTTTGCTTCAAGAATTGATTAAAGTGACAATTTTAAGCGAAAAAATTCAATAAACTGATCATTCAACTTACTTTTGACCAAAACTTTGGTTATGTTAAGCAATACACAATCATCCAAATACATTTAATGCATTTAGTTTTTTTGAACAAACAATTAATGATTACAAAAAGTTACAAAAAGTTAGTCTATTATAAAAAATGAATGCCTCAATCATGGGTAAAACAAGGAATATCTCACTATTAGAAATCGAGCAAAGTTTCGTTCTCTCAATCTGATAAGGAAGACGCGTATGTGCGACTATTCTGGTTTGCAAATGTCAACGAATTAACCAATTTTGCTTGAATGCTCTACGAAACTTAAACAATTTCTCGATTGATCAATACCATATCTTGACAGTCAGCTCATGCTTCCTTCAGTAATCAGCCATCAATGCCAGTGACTGAAACTGAATTCATCTTTTCATCTCTTCTTGACTCATCAATTCTTGCAGTTTTTGATGTTCTTATGAAAAACTTCATTTTTTTGTCCTATTTTTGTCTTACATGTAAAATAAAAAGAAGATGAATTTAGTCGGATAGACTCGATTCCCTCGTAATAGGAAAAATGTAACTTTATGTAGATCTATGAATAGCCTAACATGGAAATATGCTAAATTGGCTATTTTAAGGTAATCTTATTATGAAGGAATCTAGTTCAGTTGTTGAATTAAATATATTACATGTACCCAAGGAATTCGTGTGGTACAGTAGGTGACATAAGTACACAGTGTATAAAGTCCCTTATTTTTGCGCATCAATCTTTAAATATTTACATTTTGTAAATTATGATAGATTTGCGAAGAGCATAGAAAGTTGAGACTGTTATGGAAAATACAGTCTTTCGATAGAGTCTTTCCAGGTTCTGATCAACTAACTTCATTAATCATTCCATTTACAATAACTGAACAATTCGATCTAGATCTTACACTCTTGTTTTCCAATATTTGTGAACATTTTTTGCTCAATTCTTTCTTTCAATCAGGATGGGTGAAAATATTTTGTGGATGAAACATCATTCAGAGAAATTGTATCAATTGATCAATTAAAAAGGTTTTACCAATCAATTTACATATAAACGGAATGGCAAAGTTGAAGCTGGATTTTGTTTTGGCAAATATCTTAATGAAGATTGATACGTTTGATGCAGAAACAATTATCCATTTTTTGGCTTCACAGCTAACATCCTATTTTAACAACTATGATGATTTGACAAAATTTGATGAACATTTGAACTCACAGTTGACTGATCACAATCTTCTGATTAAACCGTTAACCTTAGACTAGTGAATTCACGTAACTTCATGTGCTATCACTAATCACTCATGTTGAGCCGTTCATGAATCCTTTCTATTACATAGTAACATGTATTAACCAACCAGTTAAACAACTAGTTATTTCTCAAGGAATTCAACTTAATTGAACGGGAAAATCCAATCATCTCGTCATGATAATACTCAGGGAAATAAGCCGATGAGAATGTCTAATAAATTACAATTTTAATGATATAACCGATTGAAACAATTGAGTTGGATAAGCAAAGAAGAAGAAACTTGGTAAATTTGTTTAAATAATAGTATAATAATAATAATATTGTTGTTGTTTCTGTTGTTCATTAATAATGGTGATAAACAAGGAAGAGAATGTGATGTTGATGGATGATGTTAATCAAGAAAAGCTAATCTCGGATAATTATTATTAAAGGTTAATTTTGTTTCACAGCAGGGTGAAAACACTACGATTTTAAACGTTACAAAAACATGAAAATTTGCGTTTGATTGATACAACAATCCATTCGGACCAAGTTCTGGTTGCCTTTGATGATGATATAGATGAAGACGACGAAGATGAAGAAGGTGAAGAAGGTGAAGAGAATGAAGATGATGGTGAGATGATGAAGATAGCGTAAATATACGAGTATCATGTTAACCTTGTAATTGTTATCAGGTAAAATGAAAATATCCGGCGTTGCTTTCAATTGTTGTCACTCCTTTGAATCCCACTCTACAATTGACATCATTGGCATTCCATTTAATGGTGATGATTAATATCGATAACTTTTCATATTTAAAATCACAATTAACATCCCACATGATTAACATAAAGTTAATCATAATCATGAAAGTAATGTTTCTCTCTTTTCTTTATTCACATGAGATTCATGGCGTAATGTTGATGATTTGATATTCAATGTTTTTTCGTCTTTTGTCTGTTTCTCATTCAAATTGTATGTGAAACTTAATCAACAATCTAACAATTAGTTTATTGAAACAAAACAATTTTAAGTGCAAATGATTTCCCCTTTTCGATGGTTTGTAGGAAGATTGAAAAAAATGTTGTTCTCATCATCTGAATAAACCTTTCCATGTAATGATATTAATCGAATGATGTAAAGTTACAATGTTAATGATGGTTAACCAACAGATCAACATTAATTGTTGATGTAATTCTGGTTGCTTCATTAATTCAAGGTTCTCCTTCTCGTTCAAGTTGAAGTAATGCTTTACGTTCAGCTTTCCTTTTCATACAATCGAGATAATCGATATTCTGATCCCATTGACATTGGCCAAGTTTTGATCGATTCCGTCGATTGCGATTACTATCAAAGTTTATTACATCATTGGATTCAGGTTCAGGGTAGATTGAACTTGGAGCTGGGACTGGTAAGCAAGTGGAATATGAACCTTGACAATCAAATTCAATCTCCCATTTAGTATCCCATGAACAGTAACCAAATCGTCTGTAACCCTTGGTGTTGTCAGTTTGTCCATCGATCGATCGATTACTGAAGTTGTAATGATAACCAGAGTAAAAAGCATATGATCCTGCATCGGTCACTTTACAGCCGCAAGAGCGTCCAAAGTTACGTCTAAATCCTTTCTTTTGACGATAAGTTAAACTGGACCATTCCGAGATGAAATTACAGATTGATACAAATGGTTTACCGTTAACAATCCGTCCTGCAATTGAATCAAACACAAAATAAAAGTTGCAATTAGTAAGCAATTTAAATGTTAATCAAGTTGCACAATTGACTTTATTATTCTCATGTGGTCAATTACGATTAACTGTTAGCATTGAATAATTGAAGATTTGAAGGTTAAACTAATTTTATTAGATCAGTTTTTTCATTATAATAAAGTGGATAATAAAGTCGATTGTTAGATTGTAATTGTCTAAATTAACTCTAAATTAATGGAATCTTTTGGGGCTCTTTTGTTTGTAAATGTTGACTAAACACTGACAAATCTAGCTTTGATCAAGTCTGCGAAATGTTCAAAACTTATTTGAAACTGATTCAGGTAAACAACTGATTTCATTAAACTTTGAATCCACTTGATGAGCATTCAAATAACCTTGTATAGAAACAAAACATTGAAATTCTTTTGCTTTTCCCTGTGAATTGACGGTAAATCGCATTCAAGCTGAATTATGAATTAAATGTAACAATAATTCTGCTTTTGCATAAATCAAATTTTAATGTTTTCATGTTTAACCAACAAACGTTATTAAATACAATTGTTAACTTGGAAATTGTAACAATTTTTGATCAAGACTAATTCAGTTTTAATTTGACAATTGCAACAATTCATTTAGCAAACAGTAAGATAATGAAGTTTGAAATTGCTTGAAGAGGTTCAATCTCATCTTGGTTCACCACTAAATTGTTATTTTTTACAATTCTGGAATAAACAATTCAATTTAATATGATTAATGTCTCGTTTTTCATGTAAATGTACATTAACTCTGAATGTCTGAGAAAAAGCTGCAAATCTAAATCATAAAAGCATGAATTTCTTTATTGGCAAAGTTGGTCGACTAAATTATGCTCATCAATTTACGGACAATCAGTAAATGGTTGATCATTTGCTCTCAAAATTGTTCATTAAACTGTTTGAAAGTGATTTCTATTTCTATAACACAACATTGCGAATAATCAAATTGAATGTATAAATTTCACAAAAAATCAAATGACAGTTTACCATGAAGGATTTCATTTAAATCAATCGTAAAACCAATTTTATCATTTTTATTAGAAAAATAAATTCTTTTTCAGCTATTTTTAGATTTAATAACAGATCAACTTGCCAATTGGCTAGAGATTTGATTCAATGTTTCATGTTTCAAACAGAAACTTGATAATTGAAATTGATTCTAAGCACAATTTTTACTCGAAAATAACATTTATTGAATCGCAAAAGTAACTATATAAATGATTACATCTTATTAATTGTTGTTATTTGCACTTTTGATTGTAATCAATGAAGCTATTCTTGTATCTATGATTCAATGAATTGTCAAGATGAGAATCAGTTGAGTCTTGATTTGATCTCTTAAAGCTACTTCAATAGTGTTAATAGATGCTAACTCAATTGGAGTTTTCCGTTTTGTTAAATAATCAAGTTAATCAGTTACACATTGATTACAGTGTAACATTTGTTTCAATGTTTCAATTAGACATTGTGAATCACTTGGATATAATAATGATCACAATTAACTTGATCACAATTGAGCGAGTCAAGAGGATTACATTGAATCGGTGGATCCCGATGATGATCTTAAAAAGAGTCAAAAGTCAAAGTTAATGTTAAATGCAATTGCAATTAGACTCTTTTTATCGCAACTAATTTAATGTCCTGGTTGATTAGGAGTCAACTGGAAGGGTTAAAGATGGAAAACACTTGATCTATTAATATGTGAAAAGTGAAAATCAGTAAAAATATCTCATGTTGTTAACTTTGAATGTAATTTTTGTTCACACTTCTTGAAACATCACTTGACATTCCAAGAGTGAAAACAAGATAATCATTGAATTAACATCAGTTGAGTTTGCTAATTAAAGTGGCATTCAATTAATTAGTGAATTCATGACAAATATCAATCATTCTGACTGTCAACGAAAAGTTAAAGGTTAAATTGGCTGCATCATTAAACAATTGTAAAACCAACGATCAACAGCAATAAAAAAAGTTCAAATCAAAAGTCTTTGCACAGGTTTAATTTCAATTTAATTGCCTATTTGAGTCATCTATCGACGATCGTTGGTAATTAATCAGCTAGCGAGATATCAAAGTGACCATTTCGCACTCAATTCATCACTCAATCTTTAATTGTCAAACTCGACTCAATAAAATGCGATTTAATCCTCACTAAGCACATTAAGTTGTGAGATTATCATTGCTTCTTGTGTCAACTGAATCAATCAAATCATCTAATCTTTTCTATAAAATCAATAATGAATCATCATTAATATTAACCCATGTTGATCAATATGAACACAGAAAATAAATACAGAAATACATTTATAAAGACACCTAAATATTGAACAAATGCAAACTCATTGATTTAATTAATCACAAAATAAGTGATTGATGATTTATGGTGATGTTGTATGATGCTAAATGGTGTTAATCTAAACATTTGGCAAAATATCAAAAAGATTGCACTTGATTTGAATTATCAACTGAATCTAGGATTCAAATTCATTATAATTTCTATCAAAAAATCTTCATCGTTCACCTCATTTGGCAAGCAATTTAATCATGGAGCTAAATTGAAACAGAAATTTTAATTATTACAAATTACAAGAAAAAGGTCGATAATATTCGTAATGATGTATTTAAAGAGCACAAAAGAGCATAAATAAGATATGAAAAGGAGTATAAATATGAAAATGTTTTTCTATCATTTTGTCAATTCAAGCTTTCCAAGTTATTCAGTCATTTCAAATCAGATTGCTGCAGCCTACAAGCATTCAAACTTGATGACATTCATCATCAGTTTACTGAACTTTCAGTTCGTCTTGAAGCAAAAATATGTGAGTAACTCAAAAATTGTAAACAAGAACATTTAAAAATGAAATGACAAAAGTGTTGAAAATCGTCAGATAAACTGTTGAATCAAATTTCATTATAATTATCTAATTATACTAATCGATATTGAATTAATTGCTCAAATCGTAAAATGTTATCCAAGAAAACTGAGAATCATTGAATGATCTTAAAACAACAAATAATTTGATCATTTGCAACAATCAGATGATTATAATTGCAACCATAAATGGATTTGTATCAATTGTATTCAACAGCAACAATTATTGGTTATTACTTGAGAGCAATCAGTTATTAGTTGTAATCCAATTACAATTTTGTGTTGCTGGGAAAACAAATTGTGCTAATATTGATAGTAATTAGTTAATGATGATGTTTATGTGGGTTGTTGAGATGTTATTCAAGAGGAATTCAGATTGTTGTTGATTATCAATAATCATGAGACTTAATTTTGGTTCATCGGCTGTTATGAGACTTGATCAGAGTTTAATTGTAAAGTTAATTTTTGAAGCTGGAAAAGGTTGAAACTGGTTAATTGTTGACAAAAAAGATGATGATACAAGTTTGTTTTGTTTTGAGTAAAACCAGAAGGTAAAACCTTATAAATCAAGTTTTACCTTCAAATTTATCTAATAAATCATCATAAAAACTCAATTTCATGATTTATCTTGAAAGATTTTCAATGTTGATATTAAATAAACTCTCGCTAACCTTATTATAATTATGATAGTAAAGATGATAATAATGAGGTTTTTGGTAACAATTTGTTGTGGTTTCGAATGGTCTGTCAATGAAAAATGATGCTTAAAAAAGTGTCTCAATACATTTAGATACATTTCATGATATGATAACCCTAATACTAATATAAAATAAATGTTATATTAAGTTGTCAAGAATTTCCAAGATAACATCAATCGAGAATTCAGTTAATTTGGAACATTTCAGTTTGTGATTCAATCATTTAATCAGTCATGGTGAAGAGGATTAAGGTTTCTTTTTTGCTTACTTATTCAAAATGAAAACAACAAATCAGGTAAGAAGCTAACTCAACGCTTCTCAGTTGATTACAATCATTTTTCAATGAGATTTACAGTCAACAGAAAATTAAATTTAAATTAACTCTGATTTGTGTTCAAAAACGCATTGAAAATGGGTTGAATATATTCAAGTAATTACTGATATCAAATTAAAAGCAACTTTCACTATTCAATTTAAATTGTAATATGCAATGTAATTCAATCTTGAAATAACTTGAAAATTCATTCGGTTCATTTAAATGCTAAAACTGTTAAATTGCTTAATTAGCCAATGAAAGTTGACTTGCACATTAAATGAGAAACTGAAATTAAGAAAATGATTCAACTTGGAATCGTTTGGAAAGCAAAAGTACCCAAGATTTTGAGGATAAATTGTCGACAATTAAAATCTTAAAACATTGGTCTACAAGATATTCATTTGAGTTGTTATTGCATGGCTCATTCAAGTTTGTTTCAAATTCTTGCTCTTCAACATTTCAAATTTACCCTGATATTAATTGCTGTTGATTGATTAATTTAATTGGTCAAAAGATGAATTTTGAAAAACTTGTTTACAATCATCTAATTAACGGATCAACCTTGAAAATTGTTTATCAAGAAATGAACGATCTTAAATTGGCCAGAGTGCATTAGATTGTCAGCTTAATTGTATCAAACAATTTGTCTGCTTGTTGGAGTCAATAAATCATTGGAAGCAATTACAACTTAAAATGAGAAACATTTTCAGTTGAAACTTTCTTATTGAATGGGGAAATGGTAAATGAAAGTTGATTAAATTTTCAATTCTGGTTCAGATTCATCTTTTAAGAGCAATTTTTGTTGAGATTTTTCATATTTTCAATGTTGGTTTTGTAGACCTAAATATAGTGACAAGTTTGACCTTTATCATTGAATCTTTATCTGTCAGAGTCAACATGAAAATATTTGAAATACACAGCTAAATAGCTACAATCATTATCTGGTAATCATAATTGTCATCATCATTATTACCATCAAGGTTAAGATGATGTTACTCAAGAAAAAAGCAATCAAAAGGTTGTAAAAAATAAGCAACTAGGTGACTTTACATATGATAAGTGAGTAAAGTAATCAATGGGTTGGTGTAATTGTTCTGGTAACTGTCAAAAGGTGTTATCTTCAAGAGTATTACAGAGTTAGTCTTACCTGTCATAAGGTAAGTAGTATTTTTGGCAAGAGTCGGTGAACAAGAAGACAAAGCTGATCCAGTGTAGATGAAACCTTTGCGAACTGAGGTTTTGTCCATTCCTTTGTATATTTTGTAAACTTTAACTGGATAACGAAGGTAATTGTATTGATGTAATTGCTTTGGATCTCCCTGAATTGAAAGAGTTACCACAAAATCAGATGAACAGAAGTGCTCTTGAGGATGAGAGTAGACACAGGAACAGGCATCAGAAGTGGTAATAAAATACAGTGACCAGGCAATTAATACAATTAGGTTCATCATGAAAGGTATTCCTTGATGATTACCCATCATTGTAATATGTCTCATTAGACTAATCAGATAGATTAGCCGTGAAATTAAACAGGAAAAGGCAAAGGATTGCTGCTGTTGAAACACCAATCAATGGTAAAAATCAATTTCACTTGATCTCTGGTAATAATCAGCTAGTCAGTCAGTTATTCAACCAGTTGTTGAGTAAGTCTGTCTAATTTGATCGTCTGGTTAGTCTGTCTACAAACTGAAAAGGGAGAGAAAGAAAGAAAAGAGTTAATATAAGTTGTGTGATGATGATTTTATTTTATTTAAGATGTTTGCTTTGCAACATTTTTCAATCTCCTTCTTCATAACTGTTTACATGTTGATACCATATCAATTAATCTAAGGTAATAAATGTTTAAGGTGTCTTGTTATGGTGATGGCGGTAGTTTATTATGATATGGAAATGGTTATGAGTAGATTGGTGCCTTTCAATGGGACTAGTAGGTAAAGGGGAAACAATTAATAAGCGAACATCAGAGTTACCTTTCAGATTTAATGAGGCATTAATCATTAACAAACAGACCTTAAATAATTAAACCTTTTCTTGGACCATTGTTTAACTTGCTGACCAATCCATTGTAATATAAAACAATCTTTGTAATGATTACAGGCGATATTTATCAAAGGTTTACTGTTTGTTTACTTCACACACTTAAAGAGGCTCACAGAGTTGATTTAGATTGTATATCCAAAGCAATGGGTTAACAGAGTTGCAAATAAGGTGATATATTTTGATTATAATTTAGAGAGCTTTTTAAATGTGATAAATTGCTGGATTTAGTTACATGAAAAACAAAATAAAGAATGGAACAGATGAACGTTTTGTTTACAAATGTAAAACTGTTGATGGTTGTTGTTGCCGGTTAGAGTGAGGTGCAAAGAAACAAGTGTTTGGTAACAACGCAACGAGAGAAAGAGAGGACAAATAAGAGGTGAGAGAGAGAGAAAGAGAGAGAGGCAAACACTGATAAGGAGAGGATGATAAATAGTGATGAAGAGGAGATGTTGATGAAAAAAGTGATTCGGGTGAGCGATGTTAGAAGGTTGAGCTTGTGAAGAGTTGTGAGTTTAAGATGAGAAGGATTGTTTGTTGATCACAGCTTTTTTTGTTTTTCCCTTTGTTTTTCATCATTTTCATGATGTTCGCATGAAAAACACAGAAGAAGAAGAAGTTGCTTAAGTGAAGTAGACTGTTAATGTTGGAAGATAAACTCTGAAAACAAATGAAAAGCTAATAATCTTCTGCATCTTTAAGATAAATAGAGGAAATATTGTATAATACTAGTGTGATATTTCCCTAGTGAATAAAATTGTAACCAATCCAAATTGAGTTATGCTGGGATAAGTATATCTACAAACCTTATTAACACCTCATTGACTAATTAATGGCAAACACAGGGATTATTAGTCGAACCACTTGTAAATTTTGATTTATTATAACAATAATATGAGATAATTAATGAACATTTTACGGTTAAGAGATTAACAATGTTGTGCTGTGTCTTAAGAGATAATCATGTTTCTGAAACAATTTGACTTAACGTTGGTCTTACATTATTTTGGTCTTTCTTGTGACTTTTAAACCAATGTAGTTACAATTTGTTGTACTTTAGTTAGTTAATTAAAGATCGTGTTGTTTGTACAAACGAGGAAAGAAAAGGTTCATTACAAGTTTACAAATATCCTTCAGCAAGAGTTAATTTCCAATGAACTTAATTGGTTGAAGCTTCAATGGTTTTCTTTTCCCTGGTGATGGTGAGAGATGAGGCTTGATGAGGTTGATGAAAGATCGGAAAGGTTAAGAAATGCTAATAACGAAATACCAAAATGCCAATCAAGTCAATCAACATCTAAATTCAATTTTTGTGTCTTTGGTTTGCTAAATATAATAAAAGAAGCAAAAATTAATTGATACTTTTCCTTGTCAACCTTTCTCTTGATTAGCTATCCAATCCACCACGATTTCCATGTGTAATTAAGATTGGCCATGCACACTGTGGTCAGGGCAAAATGAAAATCGAGAATCCATCAGAGTTTCAAGATATAGTTTCAATAGTGGCTTGTGCTAAAACTTTTGTCACCAGCGAACCTTTCATAGATTCTAAATGTGATATACACATTCAAAAGATTGGTGGAAATTACAAAGCATTCATGTAAGTAATCTCTTCTTTTGTTCTTCTTCCTTTAATTGACTGAAGTCTCAACTAAATCAAGTACCCAGCTGGACTGTCCAATTCCTTTCTCATCTTTTCTGGGCACGTTTCTTTATCTTCTTCCTGGTTTGGGAACAAGTAAACCAAATCAGGGCACTTTGTGCGGGACACTGAATTTCATTTATCCATATATTACACTTTAAATGTTACCAGTTTCGGGCTTGAGAGATTTCAGAATTTTTATCAAACTTGACTTATAATCTTTCTCAATCTTAATTCTTCATCTTTGGTAATACTTCCTGGCTCTAACACATAATAAATCGGAAATCAGGCGAAAATCCATATCAGGCAATTGGAAAGCTAATGTTGGATCATCAATGTTGGAACAGTGTCCGGTGACTGAACGTTACAAGAAGTGGATTGATGAGGTATCAGAAATTTTCAATGGACTGGACATTGTTACTGTTGAAGCTGTTTTAGCCAAAGATGGCCAGGAGTATATCTACGAAGTAACTGGTTCCCAAATGATTTTGATGGGTGAAACACAGGAAGAGGATCGACGAATCATATCAGAACTAGTTACCAGTAAAATGCAACATTTCTGCGGGCGACCTGTAATGACGTAAGTAGTTATATAAATTCACAGAACAATCAATATGAAAGAACGAACAGCATTTTCACATGTTAGAAGTGTCACCATCTCCTGGTATATTAAGTAAACTCGCAAAGAAATACCGCAATTCACTTGTTGGTCAATTCAGGCGATTGATTAGACATTTAAATCTAAATTGAATTATTCATCTTTAATTAATTTCACTATTTATTGATTTAATTTATTCAAATAGGAAACAATTGTCCAGATCAAGCATAACAACATCATCAACAACTGGCTACTCCTCGGAAGAACCAAATACTGGTGATCTATCTCGCTCTCAATACTCTGGAGCCAACCCTGCATACGGACAGCGACCACCTAGAGACTCAACCCAAAATAGCGGAACCGGTGCACCAAGAAGAGGATCTCAAACTTCAATAGGCTCGGCTAGTGATCTTACCGGAAATCAAGCCAATAGTGGATCAACTGGAGCCGGATCAGCTGCTGGAGTAACAAACCCAACAAGCGATTCTGGACCTACATCAAGCCTTGGACAAACAACGCAGCAAATTAAAGGCCTTTTCCGTCGAGCATCAATCTCAACTGATGATAGCAATCAAACTAGTGGAGTTAAATCAGAGGATCCAGATGATACAATGAAAAATTTGCGCAAAACATTTGCCGGAATATTTGGTGACATGTGAAAGCATAATCATGAAGAATGTCCTGAAACGTATCTTAACACAGACATTTATTCAGTTTTTTCTTGGCATCTCAGTTTTTCCTTTCTTCTTACCTTAAAAATATTGGTTTTATCTTCTAAACTTGAGAATCATCTAGAGATTCATTCTTTTTCTTCATTCGTTCATCTCTCTTCCTTTCTTTTCTGAAGGATTGAACAAAGCAACAGCTGTGTAGCTTGAGTGCAATAAGCTAGATAGCGTTAAACTTGAAGTAACCACTTGGGCCGATTGTGCTTCACTGGTCTTCTTGAAGACGACGTAGCTGTTTGAGTTAGAGTGATTTTGAAAGAAACAAATTTGTTATCAATTACCGTTATCGTTGTTCCAAGCGGAAATTGGATTGTCACACCAAAGATTTTACCTGTTCTCACCAAGAACTAAGCCTTGACCTGTTTTGATAATTTCAGTGTTAACTTTATTCTCTTCAACTTCTATTTTCGTTTGGTTGGTTCAACAATTTCAAACAAATTACGGAATGAATGAGTAGCTCATTGCAACAACTTAACTCTTGGCGTAAACAAACTTACACTTCATGGTTGTGTGTTGATGTTTACTAATCAAAGATATGAAAAAATCAAAGGATTAATGACAATAAGCAAAACCATTTTTCTCAATCTAAAATCATATTTTCAGTAACTTTGTGTCCTTTAAAGTCCATTAATTTATTATTATTTATCACATTCCAATAGTTACTTCAGTACTTTTTGTAACTCCATTCATCCCAATCACTTTTTGTTTTTTAATTGTTCAATTTTTAACCTTCAAAGTTCCAGAATTTTAGGTTGAAAAATATTTCCATTTGTTTCTCATTTAATTCAATCACTTTTCATGGTCTCTTTCTTTCCACTATTAAGTTGACAATCTAAAATGAGAATTGATTGTTTTCACTAGATGCAAAATGATTGCAAATCAATCATTGTCAATAATTTGATTTCTAACGAAAAACAAAACAATTTAACAGTAAAACAATGCAATTAATGTGAAGTTAAACCTTTGCAAAAGGCAAATCATGCTAATAACAATATTAGACTACATACATTTTAGACTATTAATTTAATTTCAGATCAATCACCTTTGGAAACTTTAATTAACTGGTGATTGTGTGTGTTCAAATTTGAAATGTTGATTAACTGCAATCAGCCAAATTTTCCCTTTTTTGTCAAATCATTTTGTTTTGATATGTAAACTCATCAACTTAAAGTGTTTCACCTCCATCAAATAGCTTTACCTTGTTTTGATTACTCCATTAGCTATTAACTAATAAATAACAATTAAAATTGGTTGCTGGTTGAAAAAGAAGAAGAAACCATTTAGAGTAATATTAAGTAAAGTCACAGTGTATATGAAACTAAGAAACTGTGTAAAATGCTGTTCTCTGGTTAAAACAAATGCTTATCTATGTTCATGTTTGGTTATTATAATAAAAATAGTAATAAATATGTTGAAGTGATTAAATATGAAATTAATAATCTATGAATACAAATAATTGTATCAATAAATGACAACTACAAAAACATGATTGATGTGGTTAACAAAGAGACAAAAATATCAATGAGCAATAAAATTAGATTACTTTCTACTTAACTTGCATCCTTATGATTGATATGCTGTTAACGATAAATAAAAATTAACAATTAACACCAAGAAAACAAATAACTCTCATGATTTAATCCAAAAAAACAAAAGGAAAATGAAAGCACCGTTAGTGCAATAAACATTGAAATTGTTGACAAAATTAACAGTTTCAATGTAGTTTGTATTGCCGACGGTAGATGGAAGCTCTAGAGCTTAATTCAAATTTTACTAATTTTGATTTCAACAGTTTGCCAGTTTTGATTAAAGTCACAATTAGTCAAGAAAAATTCAAATGCAATTCAAGATGGGAAAAGGATAACGTTTTACGCCATTTTGTAACCTTTGGACTCGGAATTCGACTGTTAATAATAACTATTGTGCGATCATCAATTAAATCAAATTTCAATCATTGGCTCGTCTACAATTTTTAGGCTACAAAACATCTTGAGTGTTGATTAAAATGAGCTCTAAATGTTTGTAGACTGGTTAAATTAATTAGCAGGACAATTATTAAAGTAAGTGATAAATTGAACGAGAAGGGATCAAGTGAGTCAAGTGAAATTAACGTTTAAACTGGAAACAAGCTGATTCAACAAAAATTAATTGTTGACATAAAGAAAAGATAAATAAGCAAAAAAAGGAATCAAATGAAGCACCTTGTCCCTTAGTGAATTAAATTAAGAAACAATTAGGTAGAATCAGTGTTTGTTTTGTTGTTAATCTAACATTGTTAAACTAGAGACAGAACAAGATCGATGTTGTTATTACATGGCTCTGAACAAAGTTAAGACAATAGTGAAAGAGGAAAAAATGATGATGGTAATGATGAAAATGGTGGCAGTGGGTTGGTGGGGTGGATGGGGGATCATCAGATGAAGAAAGTGATGAAAGTAAACTAAAGACTGAGAAAAGTTATGTTTTCAAGTTGAACATCTTAACCCAAATTTATCAGGAGAGATCCTGGAAGATGGAAGAAAGGGAAAAAACTGAACGGAAGATGAGAGGATAGAGGGTGAGGGTGAGGGAGGAAATAGGAGTGAGAAAGTGAATTACAGGGTATTCCAGTTGCATGCGCAATCATGAATTGAAATATCACCGAATTTTGAACAGGCGTTGGTTGAGGCTTTGATGCGCAGGTTTTAGGTGAACCAGAGACAGAGTCATGGAGAAAGCTGGTGATGATTCTGGCTGACCCAGTAGATTATTAACGGAAGAGAAGAGGAAGAGAAACAGAAAGCGAAAAAATCGAAACATAGAACCAGTTTTTTTTTCATTTCAGCCTTTTTTTAATATCACTTTACTCTTTGCTTTCATTTCATTCTCATTGAGTTACCCTGTAGTTCTCAGTCTTTCTCTAGTCTCTTTTATCATCATCTTCATCGTCATGGATTCAGTGACTCACTCACTCATCATTTTCGTCTTCATCTTCAGTTAGCGAGTGAGAAAGTGAGTCTATTGAGTTTAACTTTAACTTGCATATCGAAACAATCTTGAAAGGAAAAGAGAAACAAAACAAAAAAGCAAATAAAGAAAAGCCAAACACAAAAAAACAATGTTGGTCAATGTTTTTTACCACTTCTATTACAACTATTTTGATTATTATGATTATGATTATTTTATTAATGATAATTTAAAGGTATGAGATGATATTAATTTGCAAGAAAGGTACTTTATTGATTGTTTGATACATTATTTTGGTGTTGAATGTTTAATGCTACAGCCAACAGTCAACAACCAACAAGTATGCAAATATGGATCCAGGATTATGATTCAATTATATTACAATTGTGTCAAATTGTTACTCCTTTTACAATAATACAAGTTTCCTTTTGTTTTTTATTGGCCATCAATGAATCGACCAATTTGATCTGATCATTCAATCGCTTCTATTTGCTGTTCAATTTCATTCTGTTGCTCATTCGTTATTTTTCATTTCTCTTTTTAGTGCCTAATACTAAAAATTAATTAATCTGTGCAACTAAACAATGACAACAACTAATGTTATTATAATTGTTTCAACGATCCTCACTGTGATAAAGTAAACCTTTATTTACAAATTGTTTACCTCAAATTTACCCTTTCATTTTCATTTTTGTAATTCATTACAATTCCTGCCAACAGCTTGATCAGTGTTTGTGTCTTTTCATGTGTATGCGTGTGCATTTTTGCTATACATAGGATTGTCAATCCAGAGTGTTGGCTGGTCTTCAATCCGAATATGTATGATTTGAGAAAAAACAAGTGGATTGTGATGACAAGTGAAATTGTTGACATCGACATTGATTCCAATGGATTTTAACTTTCGATTGTTTTAATCGTCACAGCTCTTCCTTCCTTCCTTATTCATCTTCTTCTTCTTTTCCCATTTTTCGGCTTATTAACAATGTCCTATGCTCTTCGAGCAGGAAATAGTGATAGGTCAACTGATATCGCAGCTGAACCAGGTTCGTTTGGTGTTGGACCCAGTTCAATTGGACTCTCAATTGAAGCTGGTTACCAATCAGCTCATCACTCACCACTTCATAATGGACTTGCCACTGGTCTCTATCATAGATCAAGACGGTCAGTCACCGGTCCAATCAGCAATTTAGATGTGATTAATAAGCAAACAAGATCAACAAGCACGGCTGGACCAACAACAGCAACGGGACCTGAATCATCTTCTGTAGTTCGTTCTCGTGCTCTTAATCGTCGGGTCATTTTGAATGTTGGTGGCATTAAACATGAAGTATTATGGAAAACATTGGAAAGACTTCCTCATACGAGATTAGGACGTTTGCGTGAATGTACAACACACGAATCGATAATGGAATTGTGTGATGACTACAATCTGATCGATAATGAATACTTTTTTGATCGACATCCTCGTTCCTTCTCAGCTGTTCTCAACTTTTATCGAACAGGTAAACTTCATCTGATTGAAGAAATGTGTGTAATGGCATTCAGTGAGGATCTTGACTATTGGGGTGTAGATGAACTCTACCTGGAATCATGTTGTCAGTACAAATATCATCAACGGAAGGAACATGTTTATGAAGAGATGAGGAAAGAGGCTGAATCCTTGAGGCAAAGGGATGAAGAGCACTTTGGTACTGGTAAACTCGCTAAATATCAAAAGTTTTTTTGGGACATCATGGAGAAGCCACAATCATCAATTAGTTCAAGGGTAAGTTCAACTATAATCAGTCATCCCAACCAAATTGTCCAAATAATGGAAATACGGGGTGTTAGAAAATCAACTAGACCTGTTTGAATGATAATAACTTCGAAATTGTTGGGCCATTTTTTTAATTTTTAGTATCATTAGAAAGCTGAAAGTCCAACTTAAAAAGATTTGTTCATTTTCAAAAGGAAAAATTCTAGACCGAACTACCAATTCCATGCGATGCAAAAAATTGTGAAAATTTTAGGTGAAATTTGAAGCAATTTTGTGTTAATTTTACTATGGGATGAAAATTCAATAATAGGGAAAATTTTTGCTAGATAATTAATTGAAATAAAAACTTGCAGCATATTTTTCGACATGTATCTAAGATTCTTTTGACCTTAAAAAGTAAGAAAAATTCGAAAAACCAAAACAGAAAAAAAATTAGTTTTCGTCCATTTTTGAGAGCTAAAGTTATGCGAAAGTTCTTTTTTCTATTCTAATATGTTTTCTAGTCAAAGACGATTCTAACAATATATCACGAGTCTGTTTACTCTGCTTGGTTCGAAAAATATTGAAGCGCAAATAGGTCTAGTTGATTTTCTAACACCCTGTATTTTCACTTTTATTTCCGCCTTCATGAAATGTTCAATATTAAACCTGTTGACAATGATAAGAATAAGAAGAAAATTCTTGGAAAATATATTTTAATATAATTTCAATTGTTCAGGTGTTCCACTTTTCCCAGTTAATATTGAACTTAATTTGCTATTTACCTTTTCAGTCACTGGATTCTGAATCTATTTAAAAGCAAAAATATTGGATTAAATATTTAGTCAGTGATTCCAATCTGGACTCAACAGTTTTCATTATTATCAAGATTGTTGGATAAAGATTGAGCCATGAAAGATGATATTGTAAATAAGGGAAATAGCTTTTCTTTGAATCATGTTTAGATGCAAAAAACGTTGAGTCTCTTCTTTGTTGCTCTTCATCATTTTCATCCTCATTCTCTTCAGGATCATCTTTTTACTTTGATGAGTGCAGTTTGGCATCTCAATGTTAACCAATTGCCAGAGGAAATTATGCTAAATGTGATGTTGCTGGGGTTTCCTCTTCTCTTCCTAAAATGATGCTAAATTTAAGAACCTTTTCCTCATCTTTAAATAGATTAACATCTTTTTTAGTCGTAACTCGGTTAAGTGTAGACATCAACAAACTTATAGATAATTTAACACTGACAAACGAAACGATTGCTATTTTTTAGTATCAAAACTTGATTTAGTGACTTGAAGACTGAGTGACAATTTAGTTTGTGTACACAAAGATTAACCTCTTATTGGGTTAATCAGAGTTAATCAGGATTTCAGTGTTTCTCTCCATTTATCTAACCCTGAATTTGAATGTGTATCTAATTTCACCGTAACAATCCTGCAACTTGAAAGGATTAACTGAAAGCTATTGAAATAGACTCATCTTGATTGACATTCATTCAACTAGAAATAAATAAAGATTCAGTTAATCAACTGGTTTCCAAATTAAATGTTGAACATTGAACAAGTCAACGACCATTTATATAATCCAAAAATAACAATCATATGGCAACAATCAATTAATCAACCTGATAAAGTGTAAAGATCGAGATATGCATTAAGTTAATTTGATCAGTTAGTATTATGTGAATGGAAAGGAAACTTGAAAAATATTACAGATGAAATTAGATCAGAAGACAATCAGATGAGGCAATGAAATATAAGAATCCAACATTCATGATGATTTATGTTACCAGGAGAAGCTGAGAAAAAGATAAAAAACAGAAGATGATGATTTGGTAAAAAACAAGATAAACTGGGAATGGAGTTTTCATTATTATCATTATTGGTTATACTGAGAATGAAAAAAAGAGAAGTAAATGCCCGTTTAATCGATACTCTTATGATCTTCAAATCGATTTTCTGGTTTACCCTGGCAACACCAAAATTATTACAATTTTCATCCATCATCTCTATCATCATTCCTCTCTCTCTCTCTCTTGTACTTTGTGGGTCTCTCCACCCAAGTTTATGTAATAATTTTAATAGTCTGAGTCCTTCAATGAAAATCAAAAGGAGGAGGAAAGGTTCACTACAGTTTATATTTGTGGTTACATTTCAGTTGTCTCATTCAGATTATACCAAAGAGAATTGATTCAGTTTTTTATCAATGAATGTGAGTTGCATAATTAATTGTTGTCATTGATGAAACCACTGATCAAAATAAGATCATCAGGTTATGCTTTACGTAACTCAATCTGTTTACTATTGACTGTTTTTTCCTGGTAACTTGATAATTTCTTTCATTGACTTACAAACATTGCTCTTTGATCACAGTTGATCGGTCATTTCTTGATTATCCAACATGTTGATCATCATTTTGTCTTTTCAGTTGTTCGTGATAGATATTATTGAATCATTCATTTATGCTAACATCTGAGTTGTGATCATTCAATTGTTGCTCATTAAACAATAACAATTATTGATTTATCCCTGTTAACATTCTTGTCTATCCTACTCAATGGTAATGATAATGATATCTGAACTATCTGGAATGATCATAAATCACTTTATGGTAGTATTAGGGGGCTTACTATCCAAATGGATCCAATCAAATTGAAAGTGAACATTGTGAATGGTGAATCACGGTAACTCACGGAGAACGCATTCAATTGAACATTACCGATCTGGACATTGGCTCTTCGTCTGCTACAGATGAGGTTAACGATGAATGTTTTGACAATTATATTGAATTTCAAGATGGCTATTGGCCTAAATCACCTTCACTTGGACGATTTTGTGGAACCTACACTCCGGACATTATCATGTCCACTGGATATCGATTGTAGGTTACCCAGCTAACAACCATCAACCAAGTTGGACATGAAGGGTATAAAGCTCATTACGAAAGTAAATTGACTCTCCCCTTTATTTCAACATTTCAATATCTTAAGGAATCTCTTTCAGTAGCAATCTGTTCTTGTAAGTAGTCGCGTAGTGGCTCCTTTTGGTTGATCATGCGACTATTACATTCTCAGTTATTTGTTAATCTCAAGAAATCT